AGATCCTGCCACCAGTGTCAAACAAAAAAAATTACAAAAAGTCATACAAAGACTGGCGTTGTAGCTTTTCCAACTCCTGCTTTTCCATTTGATGTATGGGAAGTAGATTTATATGGCCCTATACCTATTTCAGGGAAAGGTAATGCTTATATCTTTACTGCCATTGACTTATTCAGCAAATACTTGTATGCTGTACCAATTCCTACTAAAGATGCGATTATAGTTTCGGAAGCCATGTACTCATTGTTTACTACCTTTGGAGTAAGCAAAACAATCGTGTCGGACCAAGGTTCCGAATTTATCTCAAAGTGTACCAAAGAAGTTCATCGTCTTCTGGATATTAATCAGGAACTGACGCCTAGTTTTGCGCACCATTGCCTCGGGTCAGTTGAACGAAGTCATCGTACATTAGCCGAGCGTTTAACACCATTCACACAGAAGGGAAAGCAATGGGATGAAATTCTTCCATCTGTTGTGTTCTCTATGAACAATACTGTGAATTCCACACTTGGTTACAGCCCTTTTGAAATTGCGTTCGGACGTCGACCTCGATTTCCTCTCTCTGCCCATGTGCTTCCTACGGATTTCAGTGCCATTCCCAAAGACTGCCAGACATATGTCAAAATATTTGCTGATCGTCTAGAAAGTATTCGGGAGGAAGTAAAGAGTCACGCAATCTCCAAACCAGAAACCTTTCTTCGTTATGCGAACTCAAAAGTCAATTCTTTAATTGTTGATATCGGTGACTACGTATATTTACTGAAGGAACCTACTGGTCAAGGACAAAAGTTTCAACCTCGCTATGCTGGTCCTTACAGAGTTCACAAAGTTTGTTCAGCTCACCTTATTCAGTTACAGGATCTTTCGTCTGGAAAGCATCTTGCAAGACCTATCCATATCGATCGACTCAAACTCGCCTACATCCGGGTTCCTGAGCCGACCGGTTATCAGTTGTGACATCTGAAAGCCAGATCCCTGTTGGGGATCAACGCGATGAATACCTTGCAGACACTCAAATTGATTCTTTGACAGATTTCATGATGTCCTCAGAGACTGATGTTCCGGGGAAAGTTGCGTCTTCTTCTGACGATAGTGCTGCCCTATCAATAAATGTAGATGTACCGAAGGAGCCTATTTCCAATTCTGGGCAAGACCTTTCAACAAGTACCAATTATGACGAAACAGTGCACAGGAGACGACTTCTTCCTGCACCAAACCTTTGTAATGGACATGCACCTTCTACACACTCTAAGGCAAAGAAGCGGCTGCTACCAATGCCACCAAAACCGCATGCCATTTTACCATTGAGGGAGCAGTCACCCCAAACAAACACAGAAGATAAGGCAGATGTTTTACCTGTATTGCCACAGGCATTGAAACGTTCTAGTCGAATGCGGCAGAAACCACTTCGATATAGAGATAGTGACCATGTGGATCCAACAGACGTTTTGTCTAGTGGCTCTTGCCATGTTCATCGTGTTCTTGCACGTAGATCTACAAGTCCGGATGAAAAGTTTTTGGTACATTTCAAAGGCGAACCAGCACAGAATTCAAGATGGATGTCTCTGCATCAATTAGATGAGAAGACTCGAAGGAAAATACGTACCAACCCACCACCTAATGTTTCTTGAATGACCTAATGTTCGATTGATGACATTGTTTTTTGTACTAATTGTACGACATATATTAGATAGTGCTATATACGCAATATTTGACTGTGTTTGATGACGGCGATTTTGAAATACCTTGTTCACTTTGCTTCTCGTGTTAGTTTCAATGAATAAGATTCCAGTATTACTTGTGTTTGCACGAACTTGTTCGGAGTTAGAGTTTTAATGTTAGTTTTGTTCCACAAACTTGTTCGGACAGAAAATGATTCAGTAAATGTTTATAATTTCATTATGTAAAGAATTAGTAATAAGTACCTATGGTATGGCGTCAACAGCTGAATATATTCACTGTGTCATAAATTTAGTCCCCTCTCACAACATTGAGATTGTTACAATAGTACTTCTATATATGCTTTTATGCCAAGTAAATTGATTTGATTTGGATAGAATGTAATATGACAAGGATATGTGTCTTGCAGAGTTTTCTTCTCCCCAAATTTCAGACCAGTTTGCACCCTGTGCACATTTTGTAGTGGCGGGGATGTAATGTTTATGATTGTACTGGTCTGGGAATTTGGGGGAAGGGCGATAACTCTGTGAGTCACTTGCTGAACTCTTCAGAGTGTGAAGAAAGAAAAAAGAAAAAGAGAAGAAAAATTAGAATACACGTGGAACAAATGATTTCTTTTTTTTTTTATTTTATGTGAAGTCGACACAACACTATACGATTAACACAGTATTTCAATATTTTCATGAATGATTTGATCACTCGGACACAGTATTGTCTGCGACTGGTATGGCAGACAGTATTAAGATTAACAGCATACGATCGTACACTAATTTAGAAATCAGAATCAGAGATGATAAATCAGACGAAATCGCGCTCAACGACAATGTTTGTCTCATCGTACACTACACCAATACACTACAACCAATACAATGTTACACTCATCGTACACTACAACCAATACAATGTTACACTCATCGTACACTACAACCAATACAATGTTACACTCATCGTACACTACAACCAATACAATGTTACACTCATCGTACACTACAACCAATACAATGTTACACTCATCTTACACTACAACCAATACAATGTTACACTCATCGTACACTACAACCAATACAATGTTACACTCATCGTACAATACACCAATACAATGTTACACTCATCGTACACTACAACCAATACAATGTTACACTCATCGTACACTACAACCAATACAATGTTACACTCATCGTACACTACAACCAATACAATTATACTGTTATAATATACAGTATTACACACGTTAAACAGTCTTAGATGATGGTAGACGCATCATAAGATATAACAATGATATAATAAAGTACTACTTAGTTAAATCATAATACAATAAATCATATATTATTCTTCCACACAGCAAGTTTTGACAAATTTGTAATACCAAATCTCCAGTGTCACGAACGTAATTCATATCTTAGTGTTTTTAAATAATTGTTCTAGCACGCGTATAACCAAAGCAAAGTTTGATAATATCTTAATCTAACATATTGGTAGTAATCATTTCGTTTTATCGACGAATTGATTAAGAATGCATTCGAACATAAATACAAATAGTGGTACTCGTTTAACACACCTTTTGAACAAAAGGTGCACATTCTTCACGTTCTGTCCAGGCCTATTGCGCGATATAGGTAACTAGTTCCTAAACAGATATTCTATCTGTTTGAATGAGTCTAGTCAAATATTCAAACTGATTCTCAAAAATTGCATTCCTCTGACCTTGTGAATTTTCAGTATCAGGTCACCTCTGTATAAATTGGTCAGACAAAATAGTTTTAAATTGGGTCTGAATGTGGTTGTTATTTAATTTAAGGTTATTTAATCATGTGCTGTTTAGTATGCTCCTAGTACTTGAAATCCATTTAAAGTCAGTGAATTCATGCTTTAGTAAATACAACATAAACCTGTTCTTTCAACTAGTTTGTACCAAAGCACATGATTTATGGAGATTTATTTTCAATATTGAATCGATGCCTACCAATTTTACCACATTCATTTATATCTACTGCGGAACTACACGTTAAAATGTTTTTTTTAAAATTTGTTTTGTTTTGTTTTGCAAAACTTTAAACGCTGTTACTCCATCGTACTTGTCTTTTCAAATCCTCAGAATATCAAAACGTCAAACAATTCACGTTGCAAGTATATTGTTAAGAAAATATTTCTAACTTTCTTTTATACATCCCCCTCTCACAAAACAAACCCCAAACAAACAGACTACATGTATATATATCTTGTATGTCCAGCTGTTCAGACATTAAAATGCAAGATATGGTTAGTGTTTTAAAATACATGCTGTATTTTGGTGAGGATGAAGAAAGGAAAAGATGACGAGCCACTTTTGTCTCTGTGTCCCGAGTCAAAATGTAGCTTATATCTAAAGACACTGTCCATAATATCCTATTTATCCTGTAGCACTGATTGTGTTTCTTTCTTGGTTTCAATGTTAAATATGCCAGTAATTAAATCTTAATTTAATATGACAAAACATTATGTGTATCGTGTATAAAATTTTTTTATCAATAGAACTAGTTTGTACATAGCGTATAAATTTATTCATCATCCAGACTTTGGCTTTGACAATGACCAGTATTCACGTGTCCAATTGAGCTCGAGCCTTCCATTCAACCACCAAACGTGAAAAAATAGCCCAAAATGGACTTATCTATTGTTGGATCAAAATAAATCATTTCAAATTTATTCACAAATTGGACATCTTTTGACGATATGATCAGGTAATCCACAAAACTGGTATATCTACATGTCCTTTTTTCCAACATGTTGACCCACTATCTGTTGAATACAGGTTTATTTCCTTTACGGAAGTCGGAAGTTTACAACCATAATTGTTAGGTCTAGATAAGCACCAGCTTCATCACTGTAATGGACACTTGACACAGTCAATATTTTTTAAAATCGTTCAAATAATCCTAAAACACGTCATTATGACTACAATCAACAGTATTAGTGAGAACGGTGTCTGGTATATTATAATATGGACGGTGCCAAATTTTGGCATGTAAATCACATCAGGGGACCAGTTTCGGGCGGTATATAAACACAGTCTAAAAGGGCATTATTTTTACGGCTGTTTTAAAATGATTTAACACATTAAACGTATTCAGAGTCAGTATGGGTAGAATTAAAAATGAAAAATTAATTCAACTTACATTGAAAATAATGACAATTGCTACCTGTTCTTTTATTTTGATCGGTGTTCGTGAAATCTGAATTTACCTTAAATACATCGATATTGACAGTTTCAGTTTCAACAGAAACTGGAATATCATGAGACTCGATATCATTAGTTTCGACAAAAACAAAAAGAGTTTGGCTTTAATGTCACAGAATTCAGAAAGATTATTTTAATAAAAGAGTTCGCGACATCGTGGTTTTCATGATGTCCAAGATTAAGACCTCTTGTAATGCCTCCCAAAGTAAGGCGATAGATGTTGACGTTCTGACGACTGTGCGAGTAACGGTAGTAGAGAGAATCTCGTCGATATATAACTTGTCGACTTTAAGCGTATCATATAGTTCAGGAAACATTTCAATTTTTGAGCGACAGCTGTACATATCTGCTGCGACCGAGTCAGTAAAAAGGGCAGGCGGCGACCGCACGATGGTGACGCTGAGAGGATTGGGGTGGTGTTCGCAGTGGCAGGGATGGGATTTGCATTGGAATGAAGCTGACACAATCTGTTGAGGGAGAGTGGTATTCTGGATTACATGTGTTGGAAAGTACATTTTCTGCATTAGCCACAGTATTTCTCGATGAATACAGAGAAGTTCTGTTAAATCTAGCATTGGTACAGTATATCATCCGTCAGTTCAGCTGTACAATACATCAATGCAGAATCAGGATCAATGCAGTAGATCAAACTGAGTCTGGTATTTATTACCAGTCTTTATGTCCTTCGCCTTCACATACAGTTCTGTCTCACCGAATACAAGCGTCTCCTCGACCTCGGCTGGGCCTGGACCAGACTGATCCAGCGGAACCGTCAGGATACCTAACAGTCGACAGCCTGGTTCGTCCACGTACGTAGGACTCTTTTGGTCAGAGATGTAAACTGCACACTGTAGACATTCCTCGTCTGCCTTCAGTGCTCGGAAAACCTGGGATTCGGAATGTCCTGGAGTTAATTGTTGGCCTTTTTCGACATATACTAAGAAGACATCTTTGCATCGTGCAACTCCTTCAACAACGACCCGCTTATCTCTGCGATAGTAGTCGTTGTAAGCAGGCCAGCTCTGGACACCGTACGTGTAACGAGCGACTCTGCAACCGATTGTACGTGGTTTGTGACCAAAAAGTACAGCTCCTTTTAATACGGCCAGACCGGGATCATGTGGTATAATTATCCTTTTCAATGTAAAACGTTTTTTAATGGAGTCCTGTACAAGTTTACATTCCGAAAATCCACCCACCATCACAATTGTGTCAACATGTTGAAATTTGCTATCGTAGAATATCTTCTCCATGTGTTCTAAAATTCCGGCAATGGTAGGTTGGAAAAGATTTCGAAATAATTCGCTAGAAATTTGTAGTTTGTGATGAGAAAATGCCAACTGTTCACCATATGGGCTTTGTTTGATGGCTGCGTCCATTGTTTTCAATTTCATGTCCGATTTCACCATACTTGTTAGTGTAACAGGAAGCGAAAAAGACTCTTTCTCCCTCGTTGTTGAGGAAGCAAAACTACGCTTTTTGGTTTCGAATTCACGAAAAATATCAATGTAGTCCTCCATACTTTGTTCTCGAAGTTTTTTCAGTTTTCCTTTCCCAATGATTTCACAAAGAAATTTTTCAAACGCGTCGTCTACGGATTTACCTCCATATGCACCTCCTGTTGCCTGATGCAGCTCCTTCAGTTCACTGTGCCCTCCTAGGCGGCTCCGTTGATGTACCGTGATGTCGGCAGTGCCACCTACATGTTGAAAAAGAAACATCAGTAACATAATATAACAATGGTGAAGTTTACCTACATATATACATCAGGTAATTTATATAGGCAATGATCAAGAAAAGACATCTACTATTGTATAGTCTTACTGAAAGTCATATCAGGTACAGTGTTCCTCGACAGAAAGCGTAAAGGTTTATATACAGAAAGTAAAAAGTGCTTGTTCACAAACAGCGTAAAGGTTTGGATAAAGAAAGAATAGCAAGCTCGTTTACAAACAGCGGGAAGGTTTGGATAAAGAAAGAATTGCGAGCTTTTTCACAAAGAGCGTCAAGGTCTTAATAAAGAAAAGGATAGCGAGCTTGTTCGCAAACAGCGTATAGGTTAAGGCAAAGAAAGTATAGGGTGTTCGTTACCAAACAGCGTTAAATTTCATATATAGGATGTAGAGTGCTTGTTTACAAATAGCATAAATTTTTCGACAAGAAAGTATATTGTGGTTGCTCAAAAAAGATTTACAGGTTTAGACAAAGAGAATATAGAGTGTTTTTTTTTAAATAAGGTAAACGTTTAGACAAAGAAATTATAACGTGCTCGTTCGCAAACAACCTAAAGGTTTAGATGCTTATTCACAAATAGTGTAGGGGACTATACAAAGAGAGAATAGAGTGCTTGTCCACAAATATTGCAAGTTTTATACAAAGAGAATAGAATGTACTTGCTGGTTTAGGAATTTGGTCAGAAAAAAAAATGACATCATTTCAACCGAAGACATATTTCAGAGGCAACTAAAGTTTACTATGTAGCATGTTGTAAAACATATGCCATTGAAAGTGACAAAATGTACTGACATTCCTGGTTTTTCATTGGATGTTGTGAGTAGATTTAAACCACCCTACCTCCTACATCTACCACCATGTATGTGGCTTCTCCTCCTCCCTTGCCAAGTGGAATGTTCTGACAGTGAATAGATGCAGCCTCAGGTTCCAGGGCAATCATCAGCTGGTCACCGCTTATTCCACCCTGTATACAATTTTTTTTCAAATGAGTGTCGTGTTGGAGATGGACTCCGAGCATATCCAATACTATTATATACAATGTAGTTCATATATAAATTCAACGTTTGCTTCAACACTGTTCTTAGGGACTAGGATTGCACAAAGGACACACAAATGAATAACACATTTAAATATAAATTTAGAATAATGAATTAAATTGCATCATACAGCTGTTTCATTATTCCAGGAATAGGCCTAAAGTGATAAATTTTGAAACCTATGAGACGAAAAATGAAACTCACTAGCACCATACTTAAATAGATTTAGTAATTCTCACACATCTGATAGTTGGAGAAGAACATCCATTACACGTGTATTCAGCTAAAGATGTAGAACACTATGTCAAAGTTACAATTGACTTACTAACTGTTATGCTATATTTTGGTCGATTTCTTCTGGGGTTTCAATCATCAGGTACATCATTAGATCAAAGTGTATGTTGTTTACAAAAAGTATCCACCACCGATCTTTCTAAACACCGCGTAAATTTTTTTTAAAAATCTCAGAATTTGATATCACGGGCACAAAATAATGAAACATAAATTCAATGAAGATGAAATTAAAAGATGTCAAGTTCACTAGAGACGAAATGCCTCTTCTGTCTTTTGAAAATATATCACAAATATTTCTTAGCAGTGACTTCAGTAATCGAGCTATATAAATTTTACATATCTACATATATATATCAAAGTATCATATACATTCGTGAGTAAATTGAAAAAAAAAAAACAATAATCGGGTCATTTGTGATACGAACGACCATGTTTTCCAAACGAACCGTCTTGGCTTATTCATAATACAAAATAGCTTAATACCTTTCTGGCCGCTTCCCGCATGAACTGTTTGGCTTTGTCGTCCCAGATAGCTGGCACAGTAAGTACATATTGAATGTCCTCTTCCTTCAGTTCGCCACCGATATGGTTGTTTATTGTATCAAATAAATGTTGTTTGAGGAATTTGATGGAATGAGAAAATACATCAATGGCAGGGAGACTTTTCCCGGTGGTATCCTTAACTAAAGTATCCTTTCGCAGGTTCTAGAAATGAATTGCGAGTGATAGTTAATACATCTCCAGTGCACTTGATAAGAAGATTGATTTTTTTAGTAAATATAAATATATATATAAACATTGTCATCAACTGCTCTCTACTAATGTTTAAGTATTAGATGTGAAAAGAAAATATTATCATAGATGTGATGATCCAGTACTGCTTAAATAATGCGTGCTAACAAACTTACTACAATAAACTCACTGAATTTGCGAAGTAATAAAACTACTGGTTCTTTAATAACAGACGTAAAAATTTACCGGGTTGTCGTGAAGAATCATCTTAAATCTGTGAAAATAATAATAGTCTTCGTGCTCCTCCTCTTCCACAAGCTGTGAGTAGTCATTCTCTGCATCGTATCCAAACGATTGGAAAGATTTATCTGGTTTCAATAACAGAGCTGTCGGTGCCTTACTGGACAAGAGGGACCTCGCCCCAGCGTTCCATATATTGGCCTGAATGGGAACGTCTTCACCTTCCTCAAGTTTTTTGTCCAAATCTGCCTTCGACGCAAAGGCGTACCCAGAATACGTAGTCCCAAAGTCTATGGCAGCCACAAAGAGAATCTTTGATGCCCCACCAGTCGCCATCATAAGCAGTGTTGTATCTTATAAAGAAGTGATTTCCTGAAGAAAAAAATGGAAAACTCCATGTTGATTTGCATATTACACCACCTATCTGTGAAATCGTATCTGAAAAAATGGTATCACTGAGCATACCTGTACCAACTGGAAGTCTTGGAAACACAATTATTGACTCCTAGTTTCATAGGGTGCACAGGGTATTGTCCCTCAACACCACTTTGTTTAAATCTCAGAAGTAATAATAAAATTATTGCTTTCAGCAATAAAAATTTGTTTAAGAGACTTTATTTTCAGTATAGTTAAGGGTTAACTATTGTCATTTCACTTAAATACCATGTTGTAGGCACAGTTACAGATAATTTTTTCTTGTCTTTTACACAGAAGACAACCTTTGTTTCCTGATAAATCACATTCATTGCTGAGCGTCAAGCTTTAACACTATCTGAATTGAACCAATATACTAAGTAAAATTGGTCCTCGTATTGACAAAAACTTCAACTTGAAGGCCCCAAATATTTGTTAATTGCAAAGGAAATTTTGTTATTATTATTATTTTTTTTTTACAAAATGTATTTCTTACCGGAATAATATTCAATGCCATATACTTGTACAACACCTATGTAGTTTTCTGCAGTTAATATAACTTTAACTGTTGATGAAAATTGTTTTCATTGGTTTGACACTAACCGGAAAGTGGATTGCAAAATTCAGAAATAAAACAAACTACTTAGTCTCTTTTATAATAAATAGATGTTTCTTTTATCGTGATACAATATACTGGTTTTGAGAGATGTAGGCCTAGATGTGTGAAATAACTCGGGGAAATAAGCATTCTTATCGAGTGCTCTGACTAGGAATCAAACTCGAGTTTCCGGCATGATCAGCACGCTCTGTCAGCTGACAGCAGCCGTATTAGCCACGCCAATCCTTGTTCTTCCACAATGATAAAATGTACAATACTGTTTATAGGAAACGATGCAATTTTTCCTAAATGCATCTGACTAATTTTATCATTCACAAAAATATTGAAAACTATGTTGACTGAAGTGGAGAAAAATACTGATTTCAGTAGCATATGGTAGTTAGTGTATTTCAGCACTGCCAACTTTAATGATGTACGTTTGTACCATATTTGACATTTTCAGACATCTATTTTCCAACAAACACCGTGGGTTTACTCAAATACACATTTGCCCGTGAGGATACACGTGAGTTGTGTAAACATTTACACCTGTGTGTATATAGTGTATACGTGTCGAATGATTTTGTACCGGAAGTAGATACAATCAGTAGTATTGCCTATATAATACCCCTTAACAAATTATACTCGGTGTTCAAAGAATAAATTGTTTTATAGACATAACGGAACTCAATGTATTTACACTGCAGCAATTTTTGACATTGTATGGAGTTACCTCTAAGCACGGACTTATATACACGTGTATATAAGTCCGTGCTCTAAGTCACTATGTCAAACCATACGTTGAATCAGGTTTGTTCCGGATCACAGCCCAGCTATATAGATATATCATAAACAATAAACATAAACAATGCATTTAAGGCAATCACGTGTGTGGTATGTACAGGCGGTTATGTGTGGTAGACAATTTCGTGTCTCGATACCTTATCATAGTATACGGATCTGAACAATACGGAGCAAATAATATTGTATATTTAACATCATAGTCAAACATGGCTGCCGCTCATGGGAAAACTGTGTCATTCAGGAGCGACCGAACTAGGTTATGTATAGCATGAACCATGCCAGCTTAAGTCATGGTTACTGCCAAATATTTCCACGGAGAAACTTCGATTTGACAAACATCACAATTTTAACGGACCTATATATATAAATATAGCACATAACCAACTCCACTGCAAAGTGCGTCGGCCAGTCGGGGAATTTCCCAGCCTGATCGAATGTGAAGTTAGCCCTACACGAAAAGACATGCGTGTTTTACAAACTTAGAGGTGACAAATAGTGCGCATTCTTGAACATCTCTAGATCTACGGTACAGATGAAGAAAATAAACCTGATTTATACAGACTTTACCTTTCATATCATGACGACGCCCGACACTAAAACGAAAGTTGAAATTGCGCATGCGTATACTGTCCACAAAATGGAAGATCCGAACACGAAACGCAATTATAATATAATATAATAGACTTTATTTCAGGTCGATAACACTTTGAGTCAAAGACTCTTCTTACAAGCGGTCGACAGTAAAATGTATAGTATTTACAACATTAAATTACATTGTATTATTAAAAGGTTATAACATCACATATAGAGTAAATGTATCATAAAGCTCATGATGCATATATATTGGAATTAAAACACATATTCAAGTGTCCAATATACATATATGTCAATGTGACAAATAATAAAATTTAACCGACTATACGCTAATATAGCATATATTAAAATTGATTGGTTGTAGCTAAAAAGATGGACATTTAATTCTAAACTAAAAGTTACTGGACAGTCATATTACTAAAACCTTACAAGGCCACTGGAAAGTAGTTAGAATCATAACTAAGATAGATTTAAAAAGTGTTTTTTGCATTCCACCTTGAAAGTTTTTAATGTCCCACTTCCAGTCACAGTAACTGGTAAACTGTTCCAGAGTAAAGGACCATTGTATATAAATGAACTTTTAATTTTTTCAGTTTTGTGTTGACGTAATACATATTTACCTGAAGTTGCTGACCTAGTTTTCTTGTTATGGACATTGGAGACCAGGGTATTACAATTTAGATAGTTTGGACATAGTTTGTTGATAACTTTATACATCAGTATACACTCATTATACTTCACCCTGTTGCTGAAAGGTAACCATTTAAGTTTTAAAAATAGTTCATCTCCAGAGACAATGTAGTCAGCATCTAAAATTATGCGGAGTATTCGTTTTTGCATTCTTTCAAGTTTTTTCAGGTATGTTTGAGAACAATGCCCCCAAACATTAGAACAATAATCAAAGTATGGTAAAATGAAACAGTTAAAAAACGTGATTCTTGAAGATACTGGTAAAAATTGTTTAATTCTACACAGTTGGAATATTTTGAAATTTACTTTTTTGATTACTTCTTGGGCGTGTTTATCCCAAGTAAGTGTATCATCTATGCACACGTCTAGTAATTTTTCGTTTTTCACATTTTCTAATTTTGAATCACCAGACTCGTCACATAATATACACAGTTCATTTGACACTCTCTGTTTTCTCTGTTTGCTACCTATCAACATTACTTTTGTTTTTTCTGTATTAATAACCATTTTGTTTGATTCACACCAACTTTTTACATTAGAAAAATCAGATTGCAGACAAGACTCAATAACATCAATATTTTTGTCTGCTTTTTGCATTGATGTGTCATCTGCATACATGAAAATTTCACACTGATTTGAGTAAAGAGGCATATCATTTACGTACAATAAAATTACAACTGCATAACAACAAAGATATAATCCGCAAATATACTCTTCCGTAAATTTAGCATTCTAGTTTCGTTATTGTTTTAATTTCACACAAGTTGAATTGTTGTAAAATACCAAAGATATTGAATCATAATATTTACGTATTAAAGAAGTGAATTTAACATTTGTTATTTTTAACACAAATATGTGAAACCTAACCCAGGTTCATTGATCTTGGTACCATAAGTGTCTTATATTGTTCTTTTTTTTTATCAAGTATAGTAAGTGAAGATAAACTCGGGTAAAAAGAATGGAGTGTGGTTTAATCTTGACACATATACTATACCATACACACACTACACACCCTCACCGTTACATGACACTTTCAAATCTACGGTTACAAGATCCAACTTCCACGAAGATAGGCTAACAGATTTTGAGTAGTTAAACGCACCCATATATCTGTAAAAGTACGGTGGCTGATAAATGCAATTTTCGCAGTTCAAAATGAAAAAAAAAAAACGAAATTTAAGCATTCCATTTTCGCTTTTTCGCGTATTTCTTACAGCACGAAAAAGCGAAAAAGTGAAAAGGGCACTAATCAGCCAGCACAGTAAAGTGCTAATTCCTAACGCTATACATTCTACTATAGACCACCTGACTGCATGTGACTCCATATATAAATAATTTTGAAAACTATACTAAGACCATATTTTAGTTAGAACTATAAGATAATGTAACAAAATAAGATCCGATTAATAATTATGCAGTTAATAACCAATCAGAGTTAATTAATAATATTTTATATAATTGATGATATTTAGTGCAGAGCTATCAAACCGTTTATCGGTCAAGGAATTAGATAAGTACATAGTCTTAGAGATAATATCTTATATAATTGATGATACTATCAAACCGTTTATCGGTCAAGGAATTAGATAAGTACTTAAGGTCTCACGTTAAATATATAACTCAAGCATTTATGGTCAGTTTATAGAACTGGACCTACGTCATTGAATACGTATGAAACTTCAAATTGTGAGATCAGCACGGAGTATTACAAAATTTGGGCTAATTCTGGTAGGGTTAGGAACACTTGACCATTTCACATGCTTGGCAACGTGATCGTTGTCTATAAAATAGGGGCTTGCACTGTTGCTAACAGACTTGGGGAGAACGACTGGCCAGAGAACATCACCAGTGTTACTCTCTCTCCTCATTTCTCATATTCGGCCAACGGAACCTAAAACTTGTTAACTGTAGACTTTATTTCAACTTTTCGAACTCTTTCGTTTTAACTGCATGGGAAGACTGGAGAACTTGTACTACCTGGTTGTATTGTTAAGCACCTGGAGTGTTACGAAGTACTAACTATGAAAAACCACTATACGATGAAATAAACGTTTCGGTCAACCCAAGTAAACACTGTGTTTAGTCATTGTGTTACAATAACTAAACTTTACTTCACCGGAAAACTGCAACTTTCGCCTAGAAACTAATTTTATCATGCGCATCCCTGGGAGGAGTGCAATTGTGTCGACTTCGTAGCAGGGATGTAATTATGATTGGATAAGAAATGAAAACACGTCTACAAAGTAATGATACACAATACTGCACGCATTGCCAGGTCGGACATTCCTGCTGATGAACCAGTGCATTTAGAATCATTCGCAATCAGAAACTGTTCCGAACATGGATTTATTAACACGGTGTAATGCATACATCATTGTTGTTAAATAAACGATATCTTTATCGTAACCGTAGATACACATGATTATCACATCTACGCCATCTTACCTACGAGGTATACCAACATGTACGTGGCTTCACCTTCTCCAACCAAGCGGACGTCTTGGCAACAAATTGTGATACAGCCACTGGTCCAGACCAATCATCAGCTGGTCACCATTCATTCCTTGATGTATGTGAAAAAATAATGGAAGGATTATATATAATAAAGTGTGTTTTCGTGAAATTATATATTACATAGCCACATTGATAATTCTCTCCAGTAAGAAATAAATGAAGTAACTGTAACAAAGATACATACGTAACCATTCCATAATTACTGATATAACATATAACTGACGTTTAGTTATCCACTGTTACAGAAACGCTATTTTATGAAGAGATGTTTATTTCGCAGTGTAGAGAATGAACTGGAGATATGGAGTCGTCTATGCTCTAGCATGTTTAGGGTTAAATAACGTCAATTTATTATTCGTAGTGTTCATCCTACGAATGGAATATGCAATCAGCTGATATTCGTCTTTGGTCTACAACATTGGAACGGAGGGAAGATCATCGTTAGGATCGACATGTTAGCGTATGTCCATCCTCGATACTGCATGGTTTACTATCAATTTCGCACCCCTGGAACATCTCATGGCAAAATTGATCGCACAAGCGAAGTAATTTGATTGGTTCCGAGAGAAAGAACAAAACTGACCAATCACATGCTGATCTGTTCCTATTGAAGGTTACAAAGGAGCAAAACCAAACTTCAAAGCCCTTACAATATACTATTATGCGACCTCGAGATCCGTTTGATATACACACAAGGATCAAACTAGTCTTTTCGCCTTGTCCACAAGGTGTTGTGCATGGAACCTTGTAACCCTTGGAGTATCGAGGATGCTGTATATCTATAAGGGAGTTTGGAATCGGGGTACATAATTATAGGAATAATGATAACATTGCACCACATTGTTTGAATGGAACACTATTATCCACATACGTACGTACGAACTATATTACGTATGAGAGAGTATCACTGCATTTCCGGTAATATTATAATCCCTAACATAAATGAAACTTCAAAGAGACACGACTTATCACCTCATAGATATTACAAGGCTACTTTCGTAACTTTCATAAGTGGACATGCAAATCTTTGATTAATATTGAACAACTTTAACAACCCCCATTCTGCCCTCCTTGTTTTGTCTTTGTAATTGGATTCTCTGATTTTAGACATATCCATTATATAACACGTAAATTGTGTTACAATGTTCGATGTATCAATAAATTAACACTATGCATCATGTACAGAAATGTTCTTGATCTGAAAGTTCCAGATTTTAATTACGTGACGTAAAAGTATGCGAGATTGATTTGTGTTATTTGTTTTTGCAGAAAAAAACCACTTATATACATTGTGCCCCTAGTGTTCATATCATGTAATTAGACAATATATTACTATGATGTCGAGATTTTCCAGCTGTCTATAACGACAACTTCATTACTTCCTTTTGGGGGGACGTCGTACTGGTTTAATGGTATGGTAGTTTCTAGGCTAGGCGGTTTTGTGCCGTTGATCTGGAGTTTATTTTCAATAGTTATTATTTTACACGATTCGTTGATGACAAGTTCATTGTTTGGGTTTCTCAATGATTTTATCACTACTGAATACATTTTGATGTTTTGTCCTATCACAGACGGCGATTGCGTGAATAGCGTTAAAACAAGGATAACAGACGCCGTTTCCTGATCAAAATCAGTAGCGTGTGTTCATACCCCTGGCTTCAGTCGCTGCTCTTGCTATCCTTTACATTGATCCCATTAAGGTGTTTATTGTCATTTGAGGGATATTATTCTAATCCTGAATAAGGACCTTCGTGAGTTGAGCGACGTTATATGGACATTGACGCGCTTCCTACACATCCTGTCCAGCTCCTACAAATGCTCAGTTTGGACAAATTTAGACTGTATGGTGGCCAATAAAGAACTGGGATGTTGTTTTAAGCCAGTTCTATGTCTCATTCTATAATATTACTTGTATTTATGGAAGCAAATACAGTTCTAGGCTTCATTCTGCATGGTGCAGGAGTACCCTGGATGCACGCTTTCCTGAAAATCTGCTAAAACATGCAGTGTCGAGCAGGGTCACAGTCGACTGATTTTTTCTATAACTGAAGAACTTTTTCACAGTGCATGGAGGTAGTTCAGTGTCAAATGTAATCAAATTGTGTCAAAAAGTTTTATTACAAAATCAGAATTTGAATTTCATTTTTTCGCAAGTATATATACATATTTACATATACATATGTTTATTCAAAATAGGTCGTTTGAGGTTTTGACATATTTGATTTCTATGACCTTGATCATGGCCATTATTTGCACAAACTTGGTAGCCCTTTATTACAATTGGTACACACACCAAATAACATGAGCAAGGACCTCTGGGTTATAAAATGTAATGTGACCTGAAAATTGAGTAAAAAGTTATCCATTTAAATTTTTGAAAAAAGTATCATTCAGAGGGGGGAGAGTGGGTGATGGTGGTGTGGTGTTGGTGTGGTGTGGTGTGGTGGTGGTGTGGTGGTGGTGTGGTGTGGTGATGGTGTGGTGTGGTGTGGTGGTGGTGTGGGTGTGGTGTGGGTGTGGTGTGGTGTGGGTATGGTGGTGGTGTGGTGGTGGTGTGGTGTGGTGGTAGTGGTGTGGTGTGGTGGTGGTGTGGTGGTGGTGTGGTGGTGGTGTGGGTGTGGTGTGGGTGTAGTGGTGGTTTGGTGTGGGTGTGTGTGTTATAGAAGTCCTCCATTACCCTCTTTCTAAATGTAAAAAGCAGGAATTCCATAGCACATGTATCCCATTACAGTACTGTACAAACACTCCTACATCATCAGCACAATAACGACATCTAAAACTTTATCTAGTTTTAAAATTGTGATGGAAACATTTCAATTTATCAATGGCACTCTCCTGACAATAAAGAATTTTAATTTTGATCAGAAATGACAAAACCGGTCTCTTTATATCAGATGATAGCTAAACTACATGTCAGCTTTCTGTGTATCAACCAAGAATATGGATAAACTCTCAGATTTTCTACTCACATAGAGGATGCCATCAAATTACAATATCCATTTTGGTTTGCCTTCTGTTCTCCTGAGATGAATAGTTTCTGTCCATTAAACAAAATGTTAATAAAAAGGTGACATGATTTGTTTACTGTGATGTGATCTCTCCATGATATAGAAAATTCTATGGTACAACTCGGTAAACAGATATCATGAGTTTATACACATCCACTGACCAATAGCAGCAACACCATCCATCACAACTTGACATGAAAGTACAGAAGTTGAATTTTTAAGTAAAATTTATAAACAGCACCAAAGTTAGTACCAGCAAAACTAACCTGTGACTCTTAAAACCTTCACAAAATATATGGATTTTAACAAACAACGAAACTGTTTTATGAAGTTAATGTCTCCATACATACTATGCATGCACATGCATTTGCTGTGTGTACGCAATTCAAGTTTGTTGATAATTCTGTTGTTCAATTATGTACCCATATTTGATAAAATTTCAAACAACAAACTGATTACACTGCCAGAACACTGATGTTCCTCAGTGAAGAGATACTTAGCGACGTGAGGAGTCGTGAAGAAGGAAAAGCTGTACCGAGCTTACTAACAAACAGATACAATGTGTATTGAGTATATCGAGAGATAAGGGTTAGTAGACATTCTGTATCACAGTTGGGACATTAGTTCTAGTAATTGCTACTTCACATACAATTGTTTGCAGTTGTATGGGCAGAAAAAGACAATATATCACAACTAAATGTACATGCATGAAAAAACACAGGAATTTTGCCTTGACTGGACTTTATTACATTTTCCTCACAGGAAATTATATCCAAGTACACTTCATTTTATTCCTACAGTAATTATCAATGATACCTGGTACCTGTAATTCACATTAACATGTGTCGTGCTGGCTGTAACATTATAATGAATACAAACTTAATTTATTTTACAACAATTGCGAAACAAGTTATTTTAACTTATACTAATCACTCATGTTGGTCCGGATGTAAGCGTGGGAGGGGTCTTATTGTGGGAGGAAACCCGGGGAAAACCCGCATAGTTGGGCAGGTGACCCCTTACCTTTTTATGTCTGTTCTGGGAATCGAACCCCAGACGACTAGGTAAAGGCGAGTGTGATACCACTGCACCAACGACCATCCAACATTAACATTATAATGTAAATCTATACAAGTCACAGACATTGATGGTAAAAGTATTCAAGTATATTTAAAATTAACATCACACAAAAACTGAAAGGAATTGTACACAAGTACCAGAATAATCATTGTCAATATTATTTGTCACTGGAGACAAGAATATACATCATAGCAGAAATAAGACATACACTCTGTCACAGTGTATCTAAGTCTACAACATAATTCAGTTCAACTGATATCAATTTCATTGATAACATCTAAAATGTATAGGTAACAAATCTCAAAATTTAAAGTAAAAACATGATCTCAAAATAATTAATAGCTATGTACAATACGTAATAAAAATGAAATGTCAATATTCAAAAAAAAAAAAAAAAAGACGATTTTTATTAATTTTTCATTAAGTTAAAAGAATATCTCATGAATACTCTCATGAATACATTACAGATGTATAATAGTATTCATGTGTATATTATACAAATCACACATCCTTAATTATCAATCCACTCATCACAACTAGTGTCATAATTTGTCTCACAATAATCTACATAATTGTGTCACTTATTCATTGATATTTAAATCACAGAATTTCCCCTGGATAATTATTCTGAATAATAATTCATAACTGATGAATGTCATTATCGTTAATTACATTATGACGACCTGACCAGACCCATGAAGGTGGCCAAGCAATCCGGCCAGCTTGTTGTAATTACCAGCTTTCCTCATCATGAACAAACCCATCAGAGTGGAAATTGGACAAGAGCTATCGTTGAAACTACATGTATATATGGAAGTGATAGAGTTTTGTACATGTACTACACTTTTGGATCTGACCAATTACGATATTCATTAGTTCACAAAATTATCCAGGTTCCTTGGTCAATATGCACTTTTGTTCCTTTTTGAAAGTGCAACGTGAAATTTCCATTGCCAACTATGTCAAAATAACCAGTCTTAATCAGCTGTTTACAAGAATGATTTTGATTGGCTGTTGATTTCCTTACATATGAAGTGATGATGACAACACAGGTCTCTACCAAAATTTGATTCAATATTATAAAATGATAATAATTGTTGTGGCCAATAGAAAATTTAAGTTGAAGGACACAAGGAACATATGTCCAGTTCCATGTCTCGGGAGAGCTAAAAACAAGCTTCGGAAAAGTTACAATCAACTCAAGTCCAAGAAAAGTTCCAACACAGCTTAGAAGATATCAAAATCCTGCAGGAGTATTTCTAAGGATTATGAGAATCCCTTTACTTCTTCCGAAGGCTCCATTCTGTCTCAGATTTGGTTCCCACTGAAAAAATTATATTTAAAGAGTATGCAGTGTAAAGGCGATACTAAATTAGTTTACTTAAAAATTACATGAAAATTTCAAAAATATTTCTAATTCTTCTGCAGGATGTCAGACAAAGGTAAATGCAAACCAATTGTATAATAGTTCCAAATGTGAATTTTATCAGGGAATTCCAAGCATGCAGTGTGTTGTTGTAATTCAGAAAGACAACATTTGAAATTGTATGTGCATCTGCATCTTGGATTACCTTTATTTGATATTAATAGCAGGAAATGTGACAATTCAGTCGGTCATCGCATTGGCCTACACAACCTCAAATAAAGATATAAAATGTGTGGTATGATGCTCCCTACCACAGAGGGGTTTATCTTTCTCAGGAACCCAACAAACTGAAAGATTTGCGTAAATGTGGTTGTGTACTTGGGAAAAACACTTTACAATAATTGCTGTAGATGGAATGTGACAGGCCTCGTGTGTGTGTTGTTCATGGAAGTAAATGTAGCCACCAGTTACTACAAAGAGATCCCACATCAAAACAATCCTGGCTGTTCAAGAGGTGGTATTATACCCAGTAAACAAACAGTCATTAACAGCAAACAGCAAAGTAACTTTAAACTTCCAAAATCTACATTTCCTGCTTTACAAGATCAAACCTCTCTATTGACTAGCATTGTATCTGTTCGGTTTAAATCAAATCAAATTTTATTCCAATGTTGCAGCCCTAGTTTAAAATGTCACTACACCTAAAAATCCAAATCTTCTGGGACCTGATAGTGATGAGCAATTTTTAGTCAAAAGTCAAAATAAGGTGGGCCAACCTATATCAAATTGAAATAATATATATATGTTGAAAACTGGAGGATTCATTTTCAGTTTTGAAGGGTCTAGGGCCACTTCAGGATTATCCGAGATGCTGGGTTAAAATCAACATGTCTTACATCGTGTAGGTTGCTGATATTTACAGAAGGTTGAGTGTTGCTTCATACTCTTGACTTGTGGCCAAATCCTTGGCCTTGACCCTTAGCTCTGTCTCTCCAAATATCAGTGTCTCCTCAATCTCTACAGCTTGAGTACTGTTGGCTGGTCGGGCAAATGGCACTCTCAGTATCCCAAGTTGATGGCAGCTGGGGTCATCCACAAAGGTAGGGTTCCGTTCAGTGGATGCATACACTGTACATTCCAGTGAATTCTCTGAAGGATTCAGCACCTGAAATACCTGGGCTTCTCTATGACCTGGAGTCACCTGTTGTCCAATTTCAATGAATTTGAAAAATACATCTCTGCACCGAACTGACGTACCTACAGTAACTCTCTTCGCTTGAGGATGGTACCGGTCATTAAACATCGGCCAGCTCTGTATCCCGTATGTGTATCTGGCCACGCGACCAGATATTGCCCGAGGAATGTGACCAAATAGTACTGCACCTTTCAGCACTGCCAGACCAGCATCTTCTGGAATAATGATCCTATTCTGTTTAAGTTTATTTCTTATTGAAGCCTGCAGAATTTCACATTCTGAGAATCCACCGACCATCAATATATTTTTCACATGGGAAAAGTCACTTTGGTTCAAAATACCTTCCATGTGTTTGATTATACCATCAACAGCTGGTTTAAAAAGTTTCACAAATTCTTTGTGTGAAATATGCAGTTTTTGATTTTTTTTTGCAAAATTAACCTCGTTTCCATATATTGAATTTGGTACCACATCATTTAAAGTTAGTTTTTGTCCCCTGGGTGAATTCTTTTTCACTACATCATTTAAACTAACTGGCATAGTCATAGTTACTTTGTTAGATTTTCCCTCGTCACTGGTAACAGACCTTTTCTTTGTTTCAAATTCCCTAAAAATGTCTATGAAGTCTTCCATGCATTCATTTTTGAACTTTTCAATTGTGTCTTTTCCAACAACATCTTCAAGAAATGACTTGAATGCATCGTCCACATTTTTACCCCCAAATGCACCACCAGTAGCAGCAAGTAACTCTTTCAGTGAATCGTCGGGCTGTTTCTCATGAACTGTGATGTCAGCAGTCCCTCCTGCAAAACATACCAGAAAATAAAAACAAGAGGCCCATAGGGTCTGTATCACTCGCCTGGCTTTGCTTGACTGAATTTTTTTCTTCAAAACTAAAGTAAATGGAATTTTAAATACCAAACTACAAAAAACATAGATCTTCTTATTGGAACCAAACCCTGTGTCCTAAAGGGGTCAGCAAAACCATTCAAAGTTCAGACCAAATCTTTGCAACAGAAGAAGTAGGATTTTAAAGAATATTGGGCCCCACACTTCCCTCGTAAAGGGAGCCAAGACCCATCTTTATACAAAATTTTGATACATTAGTACATAACATTGTATCCAGTTATGCTCCCAGGTGCATAAGATATTTTCAAATTGGGAAACAAGGAGAAAATGACAAAACACATGTTATTGAATGAAAAAAATGTTTTGCTTTATAATGTCAAAGTAAATGTTGTTTTTTCAAGAGGTATACAACTTTCCAAATAATATTGAAAACTCTGGACAGGGTTCTGTCAATTCTAAACATCAATGAAAATTCTGATGCCTTACCACCTAATTAGAGTACATGATATCAAACCAACTACATTTAGGAGGTATCATAACTGATTTCTTGTATTTCAAGTGTATGTTGAGCAACACTAAGGACGCATCTGTGAAAAGAGACTGACATTTTCAGTAGAAAATGAGGTGCAATATTATATATACATGTACATGTATAATCTGTTATTATTGTTATTCAAACTTAATCCTTCATATTCTTTCTCACCTCCAATGTCTACCACCATGTAGCAGTTGCTGGATCCAGTACTTTTCCTGAACTGTTCCTTCTCATCATTTTCATCCTTCAATGAGTGATATTGACAGTAGAGAGAGGCAGCCTCAGGCTCCAGGGCTATAGTCAAGTTGTCTTTTGAAATTCCAGCCTGAAATCAAAAGGGCTTAACTAATGACTAAGGGGAACATACATAGGAAATCTCAGAAAGGTCGACTCGTACTTCTAAAACAAAAGTGATAACAAATTTTCATAAGCAAAATCCAAGATGAGCACCAGTCATTTAAATGTTTGAGATTTGAGAAAGATCCATCCAGTACTTCTCAAAAAATAGCAAACTTTCCTTTTGAAATTCAAAAATGGCCACCTGTCAGTCATTCTTTTACATCAATGACATAAAAAATCAAAGTACTGAAAGTGCTGGTATGCTAAGACCATTAAAAAATAAATTCTTTGTTATTAGCTTGCTATATACTGAAACCAACTATATGCAATCGGTAAATCATTGCAGCCCATAAAAAATGACCAGCAGATATCAGAAATAACAAGCATAGTAGTATTACTTATGTAATACATGTCCCAAGTAGGCTCCATGATGCAATGACAGGGAAGTTGTCCATTTCTTTGGATACATTGTAGGGAATGTTGATCATGGACACCATATTATCACTTTAAAGACTGTGTATCCTATTGGTTTAAGACCATTAGTTAGACCATCATGCAAATAACATGCTACATACAAATATTGGACAGCTTCATTTTCCAGATTGTTTGTAAATGACTGCATAAGAGTGCCAATTTTCTAAAACAAACATGACTTGTCACCATAACTTAAAATAGAAGATGCCTATTCTTCCAGAAAACCTTGTCTTATTCTCCTTGTACTTTTTCTGGGAATCTTCAAGTAGATATTGACTTTGTTCCAATTTTTCATGTTTATATATTCTTTGTTCTCTAAAACTTGTCACAAGATATTTTATTCCTCTTGTATTATCATTTTTTTAACATCCTTACAGTGACCTTGAATCTTGAAATTTACAAGATGTGAATATCTTTTAGGTTGTGAAATTTGATAGAAAAACGAGGGTAATACAATGGAAAAACACCCCCACGCAACTATCCGTTTTTTGACTGTGACCTTGATCTTTGATATCTGACCCTGAATTTCTAAAGAAACCGACTTCTCCTCACAAGGGATACATGTTCCAAATTTGATTAAGGTATACTAACCGTCTTGGTCTCAATGCGTTTACAAGGTAATCATATAGTACTTATGCAAGTACTGTGACCTCTACATTCAATACTCAAAATCATTACTATATCCTCTCCACATTGCCCAGGGATAACTGAAACTGTAATCCAAATGATAACTAATACCCCCATCACCCACAGCCTTAGTTATCTCCCCATGGTGACCTTTTGCAAAAAAACATCCTCTGAAACACAGCGGCATGTGCACATGTTCCCTAATATTCCTGCGAAGTTTTGTTGAAATTGGTCCACAAGTTTAGAAGTTGACCGACATGCAAAACCTGTCTATATTGACCAGATGCCATGGCAATCAATATTTCCAGGGGAAAATGGTGCATGCACATCTACACATTGTCCCGAATATTACTGTAGTTTCATTGGAGTTGTCTAGACAAGATGTGTCTACAGACAGACAAACAGATGGATGGACAGATAGACAACTTGATTCGATTTACCCACCCTTTTGGTGGTATAAGAATGCACAAGAGTGCTTACAAATTCCATGTGGACAGACATCATGGAAAAATAATAATGATAATAATAAAAATAAAAACATGATAAAGATGCTTATATCTTGTTTTCTTTATTCAGTATACTTTCCATGCTTTGATCAGCAATGTAATCGTGTCATGTCAATATCCTAGTACAAGATTGCATACACAAAATTGTTGTAGGTAGACTTTTAAGATAAATAAAAAAAAATACATGTCTAAGTTTAAATGAAGGTTTTAAACAGAAGTTGTATTATGTTCAGTATACAGTGATTTTTCTAGACAATTGTAAACTATAAACTCGGTATACAGCGATCTTTTCTACACATTTGTAAACAACAAACTCAGTATGCGGTGATCTTTTCTACAAAAAGTTTTTTTATATATTGTATATACATAACTCAGAAAAAAAAAATAAGTAAACCTTTCTATGTACACTACAAACTCAGTATACAGTGAGCCTTTCTACATAAACTTGGTATAACTAGTGAATCTTTCTACTTAAGTAAATTGAAGATTGTAAAGAAATTTACTACAAATGCAGCATACAATGATCTTTTCCACATTTTTTTAGTTTCTGCCATTTGTTGATTCTTCTTTTGTGATGATAATTATATTGCCGCCTTTAGAGAGTACTGTGACCTTAAAAGGCAACATGGTTGTTAGCATATCCTCAAGTGATTAACCATCTTCAACATCTAATTGGAGGTCGGAAAGAAGGACGTTTTTCTCCACCATAAGGTCCTCAAATCCATTGTTGGTCACAATGGCCAATTCCAAGTTAGAATAATCAAGAGATACCTTCTACCATTCCAGATTTCATTTCTTCAGGGACATCCACCTGCTGAAAGAGAGTAAAGCAAATAAATAACTATATTTCTTTATTGCTATGATTATGTGCAAGAAATATACACTTCTGTATAAGCTTATAGTCTTGAACTTCCCAATAGGAGTCTATATTAAATATAATTAATTGTTTTGACATTCAGGACTGTCAAATTATGAAGTGATGGACAGCTAGAAAATAAGAATATCTTGACCATGGTCATACAGTGATTGAATCAAAAAGTTAAATTCATGAGATAAATCTGTGCAGTATGATAATTTATTTTGACGTTTGTATTTCAAAAATCATTATGACTTGAAAGGTAATGTGTAATTTAATTAATTACATTGGACTGTCATGCAATGGCAATGCCATTTTCATAATGTAATTGTAATTTCATTAATTACATCATCATGTAATTGAACCCATGCCTGTTACAAACAGTAGCTGTCCTAACTGATCCTAAAATTAAATTTGGCTATGTCTATCACAAAATCAATGTTGGCTGTCTATTACAAATGCCATATTTAGCTACAGTAGAGGTATTTCAAAAATGTATGTCATTGTAACTGAAAGGACACAATTAATGGTTACTTAACCAGAACTACAGTTCTGAACAAACCACTACAAAGCCTGGTTAACTGTACTAAGAAAATGTCCTCTCAATTAATCAATTTCATTGATTATTGACATCTTATTGTTGTACTTACAGTCACTTGAGTTTCTTAAAAGTTGCAATTTGACTTTTAATAAGGCCCAAAATGATAATACTGCAATGTCTTAATTAGCTCTCGAGGGGTATTGGTTAGACTATTTATCTCATTTCATTCCATTCACCATGAAAACAAAACTCTAAAAAACAGTCGACAATTAATGACAAATATTGAGCCTAGGGCTGGGTGAAATTGATGAATCAAAAGTGTTGAACTGAAAGTGGACGCAGTTGACATAATACTGAAATTTCTGAGATGAACAAATACAGTACATATATCAAAAAGTTCAATTGTACCAATAATACTTTACACATTCACACTGGGACTTTACACATTCACACTGGAACTTTACACATTCACACTGGGACCTAACACTTTGCTAGGTTTATCCTAATCTTTATTAAAATACTTTCCGGGAATCAGATGTTAATTGACATCTTCATTATTCCTAATCTTCATATTGTAATCGTTCACATGCATCACTCTTCAACAGAATCAACGAGACATCATGTCAGAAAGACAAAAACTAAAATTAAGCTAAAACTATATATATTAACTTCACATGTAAACCTTAAAATTAGCATAGCTGTAGAGTTCCCGTATGATTTCATACTCTGGCCTTTGGCCGTTGGGGTACTTATAAATTATCCCCGATCAGAAATTTGAAAGAGCTAGACCTACAATAGCGCGGACAGTGACCGATATTTTAAAGTAAAATCGATATATTACCCAGACAGATTCCTAGATCTATTCACGGTAGCGTAAGTAGTACAGTACAATATTACGGATAAGTTTTTTTTCTGGTTAATTTCCGATCTGTTGGGCCACTGACAGAAGTGACTGCGATGAGACCATTATGAAACGATCATTCCAAAATAAATCCATTTCAAAATACTGAAATACTTTACGGAAGCAACAAAAATGTGCTAGATGCTTACATAACATTTTTCAAATGCATACTGCTTCAAGGGAAAAGTCTTGAAAATATTTTGAAAAAAAAGTGCTATGGCGGCAGTGCCCAGCTTGCGCGTCGCCGTCAAGCCTAAATTCAATAGACGCGAAGGCTCCTTCCCAATGAATTGTTGCAAAAAATGCAATTGATAGTTCAGTATAAGTATTGACTTCAAATTCAGCTAACATATATATATATAGTGATACTTACCTACATGAATTACCCGCCATCTTCTTTCAGCCGCCGTCTTCTTTCAGGGTCCAGCAGCACAGAGCACCCCGGCTGTTTCCGTCAAAATTTTATGCTACTCTAAATCATTCTTATTTTAGTTTCATTTTTATTTTCAACTACATATATCAGTATTTTTAATAGTTATCAACAGTATTAAACGGGAAGTAAATTTTCGAAAAAAGAAAAATAGAAAGATATACAAATGTATATGACTCCCACAATGCATCGCGCGGAAAAGAAAGTTAAGCCGCCATATTGGCATCGCCTCGCAAAATTTACCACCATAAACGTGAGTCTTTGTCATTGTATTTACAAATTTCGATGTCTGATTATCATTAATACACAACACAAAACATTTTCTTGATGTACAGGTAATGAAGAAAATGTCGATAAGGTTGTTTCATTTAATGACTAGCATCAGCAACTTGTAGGGGCGATAATCCAATGATTACGGTAATGTCCGGCAGATGGAGTAGGAGTAAACTTTCGATTTATGAACCAATGAAAATGAAGTACTGATACTCAGCCTCAGGGGCGATAGCAACATGCTGAAGAGCATTGAAAATGCTCTTAGCATAATGAGTGGGGAAGGGGAGTGGGGGGGCAGATCTACATAACTTTAAGTAAGATTCAACATATACTTCACAAAATAGCAATAATAACCAATTTTCATAGTAAAAATCCCAGATGGCAACCTGTCAGCAATTTTGTTTTTCGATCAGTCCCAAAATCAAAGCAGCACAACTAGGGACCAAGGGCTACCTACACATGTAATTTGGAAAAAAAATCCCGTTAAGATTTCTCATGAATCAGTGATTTACAAGAACTTTTCATGGAAGTATGGTTGGACCTACGACCACTGATGTAAGGCAATTTGAAGAAATGGGCTACAATAAGTAGCAACAATCAGTTCTTTCCATTATGTACAAAAATATGTTTCAAATAATCATGTACCTGTTCAATGTAAAATTTTGCTGTGTATTGTTCTTCTTACCGTTATAGCTGCTAAACGCATGAACTGCTTTGCGTTGTCATTCCAAATAGCCGGGACTGTTAACACAAATCTGATGTCTCCTAGTGTAATCCCGTCAAAGGAATCAGACAATGTTTTAAACAAGTGGTCCTTCAGGTATCGTATAGCATGGGTGAACACATCTATGGCAGGTAACGTCTTGCCCATCTCATCCTGGACATTTGTGGTCATACTAAGGTCCTGTAGACAAATTTGATATTTACAAAGTCATCATTGCTTGGATTTTTTCCATTTCAAATTGCTAATTTGAAATTGATTTTATAAGTAACAAGCAGCTCATAGGGTCATTCACAAAGTCATCATTGCTTGTATTTTTTTTCTTTTTAATTTTCTAATTTGAAATTGATTCTATAAATAACAAGCAGCTCACAGGGCCTTTATTGCTCATCTGACTTTGCTTGGCTGAAATTGCTTCATCAAAACTAAAGGAAAAGGAATTCTAAATATCCAAACTTAACAACGTTTCTATATCTGTATTGGGCCCAACTTTCTGTCTCTAGGGAGACAGGCATACAATTCACACTTCACATAAAAATCCTGCCATTCCTACAAAGAAGAAGGATTTAAAAGAATCTGTTCTATTTCTCCTGCCCCTCCCACCTCAGGCCTCCAAGACCCACAATTTAATTCAATACAAAACTGATTTCCCTTCCACCATGAGTGCTTCAGACTAAATAAAGGCAAAATCAAACCATTCCTACAGGAGGAGTAAGATTTTTTTAGAAGAATTTTCTATATTTCTCCTATTGGGCCCAGCCTCTTTGCCCCAAGAGGCCAAGATCCATTGTTTATACTACCAATACAAAACTCATTTCCTTTAACCCAAGAAATCTTCAGATCAAAATTTGGCAAAATCCAGTAATTCCTACAGGAGTAGGATTTTAAAAAAATTCACACTATTTCCCTAATTGGACCCGAACCTAGGGGGTCGAGACCCACTGTTTATACGGTTTATGCCTCTCAGGCCCACCATTTATGCAAAATGCAAGATGCTTCAGGCTAAACTTGGACAAAATACCTCCAAACACAACAGAATCATAAGAATTTTAAAACTATCATAAATTACTCCATTTCTTCTGTTTGGCCCCAACATTAATGCCCCAGAGGAACCAGAACCACCATTCATATAAATGTGGGTCCCTTTCACCCAAGAATACTCTTGAAATTCCACACAAAATTCAATCATTCCTACAGCTAAGACAGATTTAAGGATCTTCCTGAAATTTTGCAATTTGATCCCCATCCCTCACATCCCTGGAAACAAAAAAAAACATTTATGCAAAATTGTTTTTTGTTCAACTTAGAATGCGTTAGACCAAATTTGAATAAAATTCACTTGTATACTAGACAACTAACGCAGCTGTAAGGCATAACACTTATCAGTCCTTGGGACCTGGTAAGCTAAGAATATGATCAAACTAAAATTAGATACAAAAAACAGCCCAATGCTTCAAAGTTTTCTCATTTTTTATGATAATCAAATACAGCATGTAAGAAACTTTTAAAATTGTAAATTTTTAACTGTATACGTGAAAAAGAAGCACAATTGGTCAGTATTGATCTCTTACTTTGCTGCTCATACAGAGAAGACTTAACTGAAAAAGTTTATTGTGATTACTTTCAAGATAATCCTAAATATCACACTCCCTCTTTACAGTATGTTGCTGGTGAAATAAAAAAAAATTTGAATTTTTTGAAATGGAGAAGATTTTAGAACATTTAATCTGGCACCTCTTACTTAAGAAATGGGTCAAGGTCATTCACTTGAACAATATAAGTAGTCCTCATCCAATAATCCTACTAACCCAATATCTCTGTTATTGAGAAGAAGTTGTTTGAGAAATTTTAAAACTTCTCATAATATATGACTTTGAATATGAATGGAATATCTTTTTTATAATTTTTAATTGATAAACCTGGTTTCTTGGAATTGATTTTAACAAACTCTTTAAAAACATCTGGCTTTCAGCACTAACTGTCTACTAAATCATTTAATTACAGGTACAATGTATTAAAAAAATATTCCTTGTGAATCCATGTTGCTGGTATTTTAAGACTGTAAATAATAAATGATTTTACATATTTTTTCAAACAAACCTTGTTGTTGTGTAGTACCATCTTAAAGCGATGGAAGTAGTAATATTTCCTGTAACCTTCTTCTTCATTCTCTTCATCACTGTCATCGTCATCGCTTTCACCTGCAAGATGTATGAAATCATTTTCTGCTTCATATCCAAATGACTTGAATGATTTGTCCGGGTTCAGCAATAGACATGTTGGTGCTTTATGAGATATAAGAGACTTGGCCCCAGCATTCCAGTGATTAGCACTGATTTTCAGAGGATCCTTTTCAAAGTCGTCTTTGGCCGAGAAAGCGTAGCCGGAATATGTTGTACCAAAGTCAATAGCAGCAACAAAAAGGTTAGGACACGCACTTTTCTTCATTGCCTGTGCCATGGTTGGAATATAATTTCTTCATCTGTAGAAAAAAAAACATAACAGTGTAAAAAAATGTCATCCGTTGTATCATTTATTTGTTAAGGTTTTACAAACATTGAGATGATATTGTCTGACAAACTAACACAGACTGACACGCTGGTGGACTGTATAAACCTTAGATGTTTATTGAATTGTACATTGTATATTACATCTAATCATGTTTTAAAATAATTGACATTTGAAAATTTCAGGGGTCAAATCATAAATCTAAAAGGTCAAAACAAATGTCACATATAGGCATGTCCCTTTAAACTCAATAGTTGAACTCACTTTTGGAAGTCAAAAACATACTCTCAAGGCCATTTCTAAAATAGTCTTTGTTTCACATTGACAGACTCATCATTGGAGAAATTTTCTTATGATTTTCTAGCTAAATACTTTGTTACATAAATGTATTGCCATTTCAGCTTACGATTTGCTTTCATCATGCATTCCGCAATATTTACTTCACTATTTTTACGCTCGTCAGTATATACATAGTGTATATCTGTTTTTTAGTTACATCCGTGAATTTTCCATGCTTAGATATTTCATTTGTGTTTTGTTTCTAACTTGTTATATATATATATATATGTTTGCTCGTAAATTACCTCTAAACAGCAATTTTTTTTTTTAAATGTACATCTGTACAGACTTTCAAAAAATAAAGCTAACATCTTGTACTCCCCCTGTTGGAAATACAGAACAAAAGTCTTGATAGAATAACAAAGAAAATCTAAGATCAAGACCCTAGAACAAAGAGACTTAAATCAATAGCTACCATGTAGCCAGGTATTTAGAGCAAAACAGTGTATTTATACATATATATTTTCAGACAGTTTAGGATACTTCATAAATACAATGAATGGGCACTGACGTATGTTGTGTATAAGATGGTACAGAGTCAACCAATTTTTTAGGCTGCACTATGATCCTATGTACACTAAGGTCGAAAATAGTGTGACAAGATGGTAAACAGATTATATCGACGGAAAAAAATTAGGTCCTGTATTCATGAAACCGTTCTCATGCTCAAGCATGAATTTTGTGTTCAAGCCTTATGTCTTGTTTAAGTTAAAGATTAATAAATAAGACTGATTTTGCCAAAGATTTAAAAACAATTTTGAAAGGACTTCAAGTCAAAGCTATATTCAAGGTTTAAATTTGACATTTTTATTATTTTATATGATTTAGGTGAATTATAATAAAAAAAATTATTTGAGCACAAAATATATGCTTGAGCATGAAAATGGTTTCATGAATACGGGCACAGATGGTAACAATGTACTGTAGTCAATTTGGCTACGCTTTTTGACTTTAAAGTAGTATACATATTTCACGATCCAGAACTCGGGGAATTAAACCTGTCCACTGATCACTTTGAGCTAACTGTTGTGAATAGGTCTCCGTGACTTCATGATAGCATAATGATACAACGTGTACACATACATGATTCCGAATCTTATATCCAATGTACAGTGACATCTTCATGCAACACATTTTCTTGATAAACAATTCATTTCCTGGATCTTAAATCAAGTCACCCTATCACACATGACCGAAAGAGTGTGCAAGTTGTTGCCAATATTCTTACACTTACAATGTTTTTAAATATTGATTGAACAAAAACGAACAAACAAAACAATGTCGTTTTAACGTCTATAAAAACTTTGTAAAGTTACTTTCGATATCGCTATGTCGACTATTATATAGTTGGTTTCAACTTCCTGTTTGTAGGTTTCCTATAGCTAGATTTACGAATTTAAGGTGTTTTTGTTGGATGGTATAATGAACGATTAATATCTCTGATCAGTGACAAAATTTTGATACATACCGGAAATTTTAAGGTCGACACGCGTTATGACAAAATGTCACCAACCATTTATGTGGAATCGAATCCGACGTACAGTGGCGAAATAGCACCGGATATGCTCCCTTGTATGTAAATTTTGCGCGTGCGTCAACGTTCTATCGCAAGTGCTCATCATATTAAAGAAATAACATGATATTTTGTCAGATTTAGGTGGAATATTTTTTTCTTATTTATTATTGTTATTATTTCAGTGTTTTTGTATTTTATGCCCTGGATCAAAGGACTGAGGCATCTTTTTTGTGTCAGTTATCTGCCTGTTTGTATGTCTGCTGTCAACATAAACATTACCCCTTACCCAAAACCATTGCACCCCAAGAGGTAAGTCTTTCATGTTTGGCATGTTTGCTACTTTTGACCATTTGATATCGACCGTGACCTTTGACCTACATTTAAAAAAATATTGACCATAACTATTGAACTGAAACCGCCAAAGCATTTTTTACTACAATGTTGATGAAGGCAAAGTGTGGACGCTTTTCACATATGTCTGACACACAGTACAGCTTTAATGTCCCATTTCAGAATTTAGGTTGCAATCGGGGACATATCATTTCTTTAACTTCTTACTTTGTTTTGCCTTGTTTACTGTTTGTATGGTTTTTTTTATACCTTATTTGTTTGATTTAGGAAAAGTTTATTTCAAAACACAATGTGATCACTAATTTGATTTTCTTATGTGAATGGTTTTTGTGGAGCACTTGTAGATACCATGTGAAATTAAAAAAACACATGTAAATGAATTGTCCATATTCAATATTCCAAACAGTTACAACTGAATATAGTTATATCCAGCCTGTAGTTTTTGTGAGTTGCCTCTCGTTCTCGCTCCTCTATGATGGCCAAATTACCCGGGTAGTGGTAACTTTATTTTTTATGAAAATTGTTCATAATTTTGTCAACGTTTATGAGATCTACGATCAGTCGCCTATATATAAGTGTCGGGATCACCAGCTTCTTCAAAAGTATATGGTGGATCTTTGAGAACAGGAATTAGCTTTTTCGTCCTTCTTTCCACTCTCTCGATCGATACGTTGTCATTTACTTGGTGTGGGCGCCACCCATTAGCGGCATATTCCAAGTGCGGGCACTTTATGCTAGATCTTCTATGTCCTTCTCAAATGTGGTGTTTTCTAATCTCACTTTTCCTTTAGCTTTAGTCATAAGTCCATGTTTCTGTTCCACTTCTTTTTATTATTAAAATTATACATTTAAGAGTATGAAAAGTTGTGGGTTTTTTTCATAAACTTAATGATGAGTGAAAATCGCGAAATTCTTGTAGTTCACACAAATAACATCACAAGTTAGAGTCCATTGAAACAGACATATATGTTTCTTGTCTCAGTTGGATTTCCACGACACGTCCTGTTCACCAATGGCCTGGATTTCACCAATATGCAAGTTACCTTCATAAACAACGACAACACATTAATAGTACGACCCTGTATCAATGGATCATCGCGACATCGTTTCTCAATACCAGAATCCGCAACCATTTTTGTCTCGGGCGATGTGAACAGAATCACTGGTATTGAATGGAGTACATGCGTCATGTGGATTGAAAGGCAGCAGTGGTGTTCATAGTTGTTGGGGCTGATGTATACACGTTAGATGAAAGTGGTGAGGTCATTGCAGAAGGAGCCGACTTGTCTAATCTTTGGTGGTTAGTAGGCCAATTCTCAAACCATTTCTTTTTGACACAATATTCCTTTTGACATGATCATCACAGTAGCAAGACGTTTTCTCTGATAGATTAGAAGCCGTGGTAAACTAGTACTGCTGAGAAATAAATGACAAGGGAAAAAAAATCATTAATTCAGTCATTCAGTCAGCAATTAAATCGTTTGTATTAGATGAACGTTACGGGACAATCAAGGGCATGACAGACACCTCTGATACCAGCCGCATACGTCAACCTTTCCCTACAACAAAACCAACATGGACAGCTTTCCGCATAGCTGTATGATGATTTCAATCCGAAGTCGTCAAGGTTCCATTTCTCCTGAATCTGTGGCGTTTACCAGTCGCTGTTGAGTCGATATTCAACGGCTTGTTCCTGATACCATGATTTTCGTGCAAGGTAGGGACAACAGATTCACAACCCAGGGTTTCAAGAGTCAAGAGTTGCAGATTGAATTTTACGGTCTTCATAATAATCTCATTTATATATATATATATATATGCGTTATGAAGTGTTTGATGTTCTTTAGCGCGCCTGAAGGTTTACATTGTTCATATTTGGGAACGTGGCATTACTTAATTGTCATGTGATTTAGCTGTCTACTAAGATTACCAACCTTACCATGACTGTACTCAAATACCAATCACTATGAAGTAATATGATACACCAAGAATAGAGATGTTCTAGGATTTTACCACGTTCTGATATGCCCACTTTGAGCAGTTTAACACGAGCTAGTGAACGACTTAGTGTCCATTTGGTTTCCCTAGATTCCTAAAAATTGTCAGAATACCTCAGGATTCATCACGATCCGCATCATGTTCCACGTTCAGTATCAAGATTCAGCTGAACGACTGTTCGATTCAGCAATAACACGTTGAGAATCAGACATAAATGAGGGCGGTCTGTATTCTTTATCAGTATCCAGTAATCCAGATGATTGTTATACCGAAGCATGATATGCCAGTTATTTATGTTTGGTGAAATTATGATGATATGTCGCGTTAAAAAAAGATGTTCGACAAAATCCATACAAGAAACATACATTTGATATGTAACATAAAGAACATTATACACACACATGGTATTTGAAAACTAGACCAATGTCGAGGAAGGGCCCCGCATAATACCTACCCCTTATGACTGAGTTTCTTAATATTAAGAAATATATGGACAGGTGTCAAGTATTGAAAGCAACTTTCATCAAAATCCAATGAAAATGGACAGATGGACAGATATATGGATCGACGGACAGGGAAACGGACGGACAGACAGACGGACAGGGTGAACATTGAACTCGAATGAGGGGCTTATGTACCAAGTATCACAAAGCAAGTTTTAAAGAAATCCCAAATCATTCCTTCAGAAGATATTCTCTGTAAAACATTCAGCCAATCAGATTGCAGCAGCCTCATTAAATATGCGCGGAATTTGGCGAACATCGAACTTGAGCAAGGGACTTATGTACCAAGTATCATAAGCAAGTTTCATCGAAATCCCATCATTCCTTCTCAAGATATCGCGTGGAAAGCGAAACCGACAGACATGTAAAACATTCAGCCAATCAGATTGCAGCAGCCTCATTAAATATGCGCGGAATTTGGCGAACATCGAACTTGAGCAAGGGACTTATGTACCAAGTATCATAAGCATGTTTCATCGAAATCCCATCATTCCTTCTCAAGATATCGCGCGGAAAGCGAAACCGACAGACATGTAAAACATTCAGCCAATCAGATTGCAGCAGCCTCATTAAATATGCGCGGAATTTGGCGAACATCGAACTTGAGCGAGGGACTTATGTACCAAGTATCATAAGCAAGTTTCATCGAAATCTCATCATTCCTTCTCAAGATATCGTGCGGAAAGCGAAACGGACAGACAGACGGACCGACAGACGGACAGACGGACAAGGTGATTACTATAGAAGATATGTACCATAATTATACATGTTAATTTGTGTCTTGCGACACTTAATAACAGTTCTATAAACGTCGAAGGCAAAGCTTGATAACTGTTGTTATCTTTATCTAGCACCTATATTGTAATTCTATCATCGAATTAAGAGAAAATGCAAAGTCACATTGTGATCTCGTCGTGTCCTCCTTGGTCTGTGTATGCAATGTCTATGAGTTGAGTTTTATGAAACCAGAAAGATGAAGCCGTTTCTTAGTTGATTCGGTCCATATCAGTCATGTGCTGTAATATACATAGAGTAAGTCACAACTAAAATATGTGAAAGTCCCAGTTGAATCATCAATGCGAGAAATAACGAAATGTTCCACATCATCACATTCAAATATTGCAATTCAAGAGACGTCTCTATACTTATAAAAGGCGTAAAATGGTATATTTGAAATGTTGAGAGATGAGCTAACGATGATAATGTTGATGCCTACTGACTCCCTATTTCTGTAAGCTACCTTCTAAATCCATTCCTCTCAGACAAGCCAGACGGTGAAAGTCAGCAAAAAAGTTGTATTTCTTTTCTTTTATTTCTTTCTGAATTGATTTGTAAATATAAAATAACAATAAAATACTACAACATGACATATACATAAAAAGTTTCTATAATGATATACATGTGTTAACTTTTGATTCCCCTCGCCTTAGAGTTCTTGAGATGAAATTTGGACAAAATCCAGTCATTCCTATAGGAGGAGTAGGATTTTAAGGAATGTGACCTATTTCACCTATTGGACCCCGCCAATCCCGACCGTGGGGGCCGAGACCCAACGTTTATTTAAGATTTATTCCCCTTCACTGGAAAAAAGCTTCAGACAAATATAGTGCAATATATCTACAAAGGGTGTAGGATTTTAAAGAACTCAGCCACTCAGGCCCCAAGGACACCAAGAATGCTTCTGACCAAATTTGGTAAAACTCCACCAAGTCGTTTATGACAAGTGGTGATTTGATGGGAAAGTTGGCGGACGACGGACGCCTCGGTATGTCATAAACTCACCGTTCGCTCGGACCAGGTGAGCTAAAATTCATGTGATATAAAGGATCTTAAATTAGTTTACATTTTATAAATCGTTTCATTTCAGATCGCTAATAGATCTGAAAAGAAAAATACTCGGATTCTTAAATCAAATGGAACTCATGTAGGATTCTATATGCATGATGACTGCCGTCAACAACAAGTTTTCTGGCGTTGTACACCTGTTTGTACGGGAGTCAAAGTACAAAGGCGTCGAACCAATCCCAAACATTCTTTAGGTTGTTGCTGACGTGCACAGTTTAGCATGATTTCATTGTTAATGACATGACATGTAGTTGTACCAAAGAGGGATAAATCGGTCGATCACCGTTTCCCTGACCTTTCCTAGATACTATCGCCCCTACAAGAAGAAAAGAAATGATTATATTTTACATCGTTTTAAAAAATGAAACATATTCACAACTGAATAAATTACAGTGTCTGAAGTGAACACAAGGGATCAGGTCTGAAAATAAATAAGGGTAAAAAAGGCATGTGTAGACAAGTTTACGATTCTAGTAGTCCCATCACGTCGTTATTCAGACTGATGCATCATCGCTTTCATTTTTTTCAATTCTTGTAAATATCTGTCATACAATTATTTATGTGTATTGTCAAAACAAAAAGCAATTGAGTATCAATTCAATGGCTATCTTGATTTGGCGACAGAACAAGATATAGATATTTTCCAAATTTATCAAGATCCAGTATACAATTTCAAATTGTCAATATAGCAATACCAGTTTAAAGTTCACTTACAAAAAGTCGAAGCTGGCCTCAAACATTTTTCCTGTATATATATCTCTTGCACGTACATGCAGCTCCGTCTCTCCAAATACGAGCGTCTCCTCAATTTCAATTGGTCCTCGCCTGCTTGAACTCAGGGGAACTTTGAGCACACCTAGCTCTCGACATCCCTTTTCATCCACAAACTTTGGATTTCGATTCGAAGACACATACACGGAGCATTCTAAGCACTCTTCGTCTGGTTTCAGAGCCTGGAACACCTGGGATTCCGTATGCCCTGGAGTGACTTGCTGTCCTATCTCTATATACTTAAAGAAACCATCTTTACAACGTGCAACACCATTGACTAAGATCTTTTTGTCCTCTGGATGTTTACGTGGATCAAACTCTGGCCAGCTCTGAATGCCGTAGGTAAATCTTGCCACTCTACTGCTGATAGAACGAGGTTCGTGTCCATAAAGGACGGCACCTTTCAGGACTGCTAATACAGCATCGGGTGGAACGATGATCACTTTCTCTTTGAATCTATGACGGACGGCGTTCTGTACAAGTACACAATCTGAAAATCCACCAACCATTAAAATGAATTTAATGTCCATGAACTTTCGGTCGCAAAGTATATCCTCCATGTGTTTAATAATACCGTCTATTGTTGGCTGAAAAAATTTTCTAAATTCCGAGTTCACTATTTGTAATTTTTGTCGTGCACTTCTCACAGCTGGGGAAAACCTTGATTTCTTCACAGCGTTATCGAAACTCTTTCTTGATTTGTCTGCCTGGAGGATCTCCACGAGCGTAAAAGGCACGGTCATCGACACTTTTTCAGGTTTTGTTTCAGTAATGTTTCGTTTCTTGACTTCAAATTCTCGAAAAAGCTGAACATAATCTTCCATGTGATTTTCCTTTAGCTTTTGAATATTTTCTGGTCCTACGATTTCCTGTAGGAACACTTCGAAAGAGTCGTCTACTGAGTTTCCTCCAAAAGCTCCCCCTGTGGCCGCATGGAGTTCTTTTAACGACTTGTCTTCTTGACGTTGGTGGACGGTAATGTCTAGGGTACCACCTTGGGGGAAAATCCGAAAGTATTCGAAAAATAGAAAGAAAAGACGTTTAATACACAAATTCATAGGGGTTTTTTTTACTACAAGAGCAATGTTATGATATTTGAATTAAGAAAAACATGTTTTTCAATATATCACACAAACATTGAACAGGCGTTTTTTTTTTTTTTTTTCTGATATAAAAATACAACATTTTTATTTGTTATTTGTATATACCTCCTAGATCTACGACCATGTAAGCTAGCCTCGATTTGGAACACTCCAGAAAGCTATTTGATGCTCTTTCCACGGGTACGTGTTGACAATAGATCGAGGCTGCTTCTGGCTCTAAGGCTATCATGAGATGTTCCTTTTTGATACCACCCTTGATAGAAAACATGCAAACAAAAAAATGATCATATATCAATTACTGTCCTGAAACCATTATTGTCACCATATGACGTATAATAAAAGGGATTCTACTAAAATATATACTATACAAATGCACTTTCACATCCGCCTATGTTCATTCTCTAAATCATTAGATAAGTAAACATGGTAATCATCATGTTATTCGCCACGGAAGCAATAGAAAATAATGGCATCTGTTACAACGATTCCAAGTTCACAGAAAGAATATTTCACTGACGATATTTATGCCATGGTAACCTTATTTTAGCATAAAAATTGTGTTTGAATGATGAAAAAAATGTTTGTTGCCATATTGGTTTTTCTGTCAAACCACTGTGTACAGGAAGTAATATAATTGATATTGGATGTCTATATATAAGGTATGCAGATAGATGCAAGTTAATAAATGGGGACAGTTTGAAATCTTTGGCACTACCACTAGGGGATATTTTTTCCAGATTCTGTATATGAAATATATTTCATGGATTAATACATTAAATGTACCTGGACTCTGGTGATCTTTATACATTTTTAGCACCTGAACATTTTGTTTCAATTATAATATATTACCTTGGCTGCAGCTTCCCTCATAAACTGTTTGGAATTGTCATCCCAGATAGCTGGCACGGTAAGCACGTATTTGATGTCGCTATCCAGTATATCATTGAACTGCTTCTTGATGGCATCAATCAAGTGATTTTTTAAGAACCCGATCGACTGCCCGAACACATTAAGAGCGGGTAATGATTTCCCGGACACATCATTGATTACAGTACTCCGCTGTAGTTTCTAAATGAAAAAAGAAATTTCATTCAATTAGCTTCATCAATGATATAGTTGTTGCTAAGTGGTTCATGTGCAGAACATAAGTAAAGAATGTATTTAAGATTGCATGCACCATGTAATGGTAAGCCAGAATATAACTAGAAATTCCGTAGAACAGCTACTTAGGGACATAACATAAATATGTAACATTTATTTATTGATATGTTAGTGGTCCTTGTGCTGGTAACACTGACTCATTTAGAAAGCGAATTTTCACTGTGCTATAGAATCAGTTAGATACTATTTGTTGTTTACGTTTTTCCTATTTGTGTAAGTGACACACCTTACTTGAAGTTACCCATATCTACACGGTGGCCATCGCCAATGAAGCGGATGACGTTTACCCTTTCGGTAAACCTGGTCTTATTCTCCTTGTACATTTTTACTTGTCTCTTCATAAATATAGCTATTCCTTTTGTTCAAATTTTACCCTAGTTTCACTGATTTGAATTAAGATTCTGTTGAAATGTTGGTATTGTCGTTATTTCAGATCTTTCGCAGCCTATGTATGATTACCTTATTATTGTAGAGTGTCATTTTAAATCTGTGAAAGTAGTAGTAACCCTTAAGGTCAAGGCCTTCTTCCGCCATCATAGTTTCAGCCTCGTAGCCAAATGAACAGAAAGTCTGGTCTGCCTTAAGAAGGAGTGCCGTTGGAGCCTTGTACGACATCAAAGTTCCGGAGTTCCAAATGTTGCTTTTTATTTTCAATGGATCGTTATCGTATTCATCCTTGCTGGAGAAGGCATAACCGGAGTAGGTGGTCCCGAAGTCTATGGCTGCCACGAACAGATATTTTCTGGACGAAGCCATAGTGCTGTAATACGAGCAATGTCAAAGCGTTCAAATCATCTCGAAATTACTTAATGACAATATAGTACCTAGTTATTTATAGAACTGGGTTTATGCTTACATTGAACGTACTAATGTACTTTCGATTTCCGTGTGGTCAACATTAGCAGAAATGTACATAACAACACGTCGCCTTCTGTAGATTAACAGTATCAATTGGTACAATATTTACCTCTTTAAGGTTATGAAAAATGATTCTGAAAAAATATTCCAATGGATTGTAAATCATCCGGGTGCAGTTCTGGAGTTTATTGACAATTATCCTCGTGTCGTATAACTGACATCAGATACATATATAACACATGTGATATATACGTCTCTGATGACACACAAAACCACTTGTACTACGAGAATCACGTATACATATAAATGCTATTTTAGCTTAAACAACAAAGTTTAAACTTGTCATCAAACATTTAGACAATCAATGAAATAAAGCTTTCGACAATCAATAAAATCTAAGATTTAAAAACATTTGAATAGACATTAATTTTTTACCTTCTGAATAACCTTCCGTCTCGATACTGTATGTACACAAATCTTTGCGCATGCGTAAGTAGCTCTCTTGCATTTGATCATATGTGTATCGTTACATGTAGTGTGTGTATATGGGTTATATATATACTTCGGCAATCTAACATACATTATTTATACGATGTTTAATGAAATGTTTGTAAAGCATGTATCTCCTGGCCAAAACAGACATCAACTAGATATTTTGACCTATTGTTTAGGTCTTTGCTTAGCTGTTATCGTAACGTGTGTCACATGACACTGTATAATCGTGTTCAGACTCGACAATACATGTGCAGGAAAGTTATCGCTGCGTAGTAGAATACAACTTGATATTTTCTTTTATTCCAACTGCACATTTTCACGTTAATTTCCTGTAATCGGAAGTTGTTGCTGAGTTCGAATATTTTGAAACGTTCATGAATATTTACACTGTATCAACAACATGAAAAAAAAAATAAATAAAAAACTTAATGTATAGTTGTATCTTTTTGTGTGTTCAACTGATATTAAATGACAGAAAGCGATATTTCTGCAATGTCACTATATTAATCGTAGCAAAGGTCACTCCAGACTACACTAACGGAAACCGTACAGGCGAGCAAAACACTATCGCCCGATAAGCCTTATATCAGCTACGTGAAATTTACATGTACTTGAGTCTTAGGAATCTACATCATGAACTTTTTGACACTGTACCACGAAATATTATCACGTTAAAATACATTAACAAGAGGTCAAAGGCCACGAGACTCTTGGATAAAACCACATATTACATATAACCAAACTTTCATATTGATCAAATCACACTCAATAGAGCTGTAGATAATTTAAATATTGAACGGGTCAAATTAATTACTATAAATGGTTTCACCCTCTACCCCTTTGCAGGCCCTTTATAAGTTATTTCGGCCGTTTCGTTATCGAGATGTGTTTTAACAATATATAACGATATATAAGTGATATAGTAATGCCAGAATTGCCAGTTTGGTTTCGTTCATTGTGTACACCAGGCCTCACTTGTATAAAACATCTCAACTTGAGATTTCCTCAAGTCGAGATTTTCCTCAGCTGATATCTCCTCAAAAACGGCTTGTATAAAATTTTATCAAGGAACAGGAGGAAGTCATCTGCTAGGATGTCCTGAAATACCTTGAGGAATTTTCATACAAGATAATTTCAATTCAGGTTATATAGGCACTCCGTCTTCTTTCCGCCCATCACGTGTGATGAAGGTAACAGTGGTCACTAAAACATGACATACTTGATGTTACAAGGACAACGTTACCTGATACAGATTATTTTTCCCAAATGACCAGCAAATTTACAAACAAAGATGCATAGTTCCATAGACCAAATCATGACCTGTTCAATAAATAACACATGAACAAGAACTAATTGTCATACATTATATAAGTAATAAAGCTTATGATAATAAACCACATGTGCTTGTTTAGCTGACTAAAAATTTCTGTCTTTAAAATGATAATTTATCTAAAGTCATTGGTCACATCTATTATGTTTCTATTGATATTTATATTTTTATTGACTATGCTCCTATTGTCAATAAAAATGAATAAAATATCAATAACATAACAAATGGGATTAATGACATTAAATGATCATTTTAGAGACAGAAATTTTCAGTCTATTTGTCTAGATAATATGTACTTTGATTACCGATCGGCAATAAATATAATTGTAGGTGGCGAAAGGAAGAATACATAGGATGATCAATCTTGGTTTTTGGGCAAAAAAAGTTCGTCTATTGGTATGGCCATCAAGATCAGAAGTACACAATTTCTACCAAAGATATGTATACCCGGCCTTTGGAATTAGACCCATACTTGGTGACTGGTAACTTAATCATTCAGAATCAAAAAGTGGTAATAACTAATTGCTTGATTAAACACTTAATGAATGAATCAAGCTGTTAATTCGTCTGGTTTTAGTTAATAGCCTATATGTTACAAGATATGAAGCTATGAGTTAATTGAAATTATGTTTAAAAGAGGTTTGCTAAACTGAAAGACCTGTTACAAGTCTGAATATAACACGAGAGTGAAAGGTCTATCACGGTGTCGTTCGTAGTCAAAGTCAGAGTGAAATTTCATACAAATCATTCTCTGGATCCCTTGGCGTGAATTGTTCCATTTCGGGACTGACCCGAAAACAATATGGCCGACAGGCAAGCATCCTGGATTTTGACAGCAATATATAGAGTTTCTTATCGCTATAGCTTGCCAAATACTAGATGGATCATTTTCAAATTTCATGCTGTTTCACTTGGTCTCTAGATTTTTTGGGAATTATTTGAGTATCACACTATTACTGTGTATTCTTGATTTTGATTGGCAGCGCTGTCCACATGCCTTATTCATAGAACAAATACTGGAACAAAGACAATTACAATTACCATTTTATCATCATACTTAAGATATTTTCTGATATTTTATTGAAGAATGATATACTAAATTTTTGATAAGTGTTCATTTCATCCATGTTTCCAAGTATTAAAATTGTAATGCAAGTGATATTTATTGGAAATAGCAGGGTTGATGTTCGTTTCTTAAACTATAAAGCAAAACAAAACAGTGGATTGTTTGATCGAAGTACACATATAAGAAGAATTAAGAAGATTGAAAACTTATTATCACATACAGGACTACACAATATTACTATCATCAGTACCGATATGAGTGTAATAACACTTATTACCTTTTTAAAGGCACTTGTGAGTGGAAATATTTTTTGATGAACATAATCTTACATTCGTGTCCATATTATGGGAGATACGTTAACTTGTTAATAAGAATATTTCCATGAATCTCGTTTGAAAAGAAACTAATGTATAACTTTCCTTATTTCACCCATTACATATTTTTATGTCAACACGTGTAATGACAACTAGCTCTGTGATGACTTGCTGTTTCTTTTATTTTAATTGGGCCAGCTTTGTGGCATCCTTTTCATCTTAATATCAGCATACATTTTTGAAAATAAATGGAGTGAAATTTCGTCACCTCGTGTTATTCTAAATCAATCAATAAAATGGTGCTTTTGCAACAGCTTGCAAGTTTGTTATTTACTTACATATATAGTTCTAATGAAAAAATATTCGATAATTAATGAAGCGTGTTGTTCAAAATGTTGCCATGTCAACAGTCCATTTATTCGTTTATTGCGTTTTACAAAGTACTTCTATTGCTGTTTCGTCATACACAACTACGAAAATTGAAACAAGACAACATGCATACAAGAGATCTCACATGCCAGTGTTTCATGAAATTGAATGAAATGTTGATATTTGTGGCAAAATGTTTTTTTTTTTTTTTTTTTTTCATTTACACTATCCTTTCACTATGTTATTTTGACGATTGCACTTTTACATCTATGTCCCGACATTGTACTCTGTCTTTGCTATAATTGTTGAAAAGCTTGAACTATGCCTTTCATCAAAACCGGTCCACCGTGATGATGATATACTACTGGCCAAACCATGTATTCTACAGTAGAACCCCGATAGGAATAAACACCGCATACTTCCGGATCTATTTGACAACCTGTTACCATATCAAAGTCTAGATATATCGGAGGTTTTTGTAGTAACATGTCCCAGCTTATCTGTATGCAGGAATAGATATAAGATTTCATGCGTGGAATGATATCTTCGCCATACGTCCCGACAAGTCTTTTGGTCGCCAGAGAATTGCAGCACTGTTCCTACAAAACAGTAATTGAGTCCATGAAATGAAATTATTCTATTTTATATATTCTATAACATTTCTGATATAATCACAATTAATAGACACCAGCTTCTGGTATCGGTCTTTTCCTACAACGAAACCAATATGGACGACTTTCCACTAAGCTGATAAGTATACCTATTTTAATGTCTTTATTGTGAATTTTCCATTTCTTCGTAACAATATTTCTACATCCCAAACTGCAGTTGATTCGATATTCAAGAGACTGTTCCCAATATCACAATCCCAACATAAACTGACAAACACATGCACAAAAAATGCAGGTTGATTAAAATGAGGGGGAAGTTTTACGGTCGTCAGAGTGATCTTCTTAGTCTTTCTTTGTGTGATGAAATGCTGAACGCGTTTGATGCTCCTTAACTATTCAGTTGTTATGCGCCCAGTTCTCTTTTTAGAATGACTTGATTTACTTGGATTGACTAAACTTTACTTGGTGCTGTTGTTTTCAAACAATTATTGCTGTGATATGATGAAAATAAAACTAGCGTCTTAAACGCTGATACATCAAAGAGTTTTCATGGAAGTAAGAGATTTGTGTTGTAAGTTTTATAATCGTTTTTGACAAGTTGAGTATACCATGTTTGCCAATAATTAGATACGGCGCTTGCTTGAAAACGGACGTTTGTATCAGATATGTATTTTATGCTCACTAACAATGCCGTTAGCAGTGTCAAACCAAACTGCATCTTGAACAGTGTAATAATTTTAACCTGATTTTGCCTGCTTTTCAAACGTTCATACAAATTCTTACGTAAGATAGTACAGTTTCACCATTGAAATAAAAAAAAAACAAAACAAAAACAAAAAACAAACAATATCAAAGAAAAGGATACGTTAGGAAGGAGTGTCAGACTTACTAGTGTTACAGTGATATTGGTTTTTGGTCTTTCTTGTCTTATTTGTTATCCTACTGTATAAATGTGTGATCTATACGGAAATACTGATCCTGAAATGCACACTCCAGTTCTAGAATATTGGATTCAATAAACAATGGCCTTGAATTTGACTACAGAACCCTGAAATCACTCCTACACATGAATTTCGTTTGAAAATACATTGCGTAAAGTTTGAGTGCAATTGGCCAAAACGAACTTGAATTATTTTGCCGAAACCAAAAGACGTACAGTCTGACATCCTTACGAGGTGACAGAAAGACAGACAACTGAAAATATTCTGTCTAGGTTAATGTTCATTCGTCCGCAGCAAAACAATGTGATCGAAACTACTTATATACTATTGTTTTCTTTAAACTTAAATCTGAAAATAACCTGCAATATCTTCTCAAAATCCTTGAACTGACGGCGGCTGTGTATAAATTCATCCCTGACCACCTCCGGTAGGTCTTTGAGAGCATCGGTAGAAACCCATGCTGAGTTGTTGAGGCTGTGGTGCTTCGTGTCAAATGGATACAATGCTTTCCTCAGGGTGTCAGCCTGACCCGTTAAAACGAAAGAACAGATCAGATAAGAATCCTGAAACAAGACCAGAAATTACTGCCGTATATATCGATTTAAAATGGCTGATTCTGAGTAGGGAACTTTGAGTAAATAGATAACCCAACATCAATTTCAAATTGTGTACTTTAAAAACAAATATGAAAGTGTCAAGTGCACACATACCCTACAAATGTCCCTCAGGATCTCCAATATATCCCTCTCGGGTAGGTTTACCGTGTTCAGGACATCAAAGGCATCGCCCCACTGTTTGTTATACAACTCTGCGCGGAAAACCTCAGCTATTTGACGTGATTGGTCGCGGTAGTTGATATCTTGGATCAAAGGATTGGTGTTCGTTATTTGATGTGATACAACTTCACTTAATCTGTCAAGTATATGCATTGATGTTTCAATTAACGTTGTGCATACCATAGTTACAACAGGAACATTTTGTTATCGGGTACAGAACATTCTCCTATAGGGCTAAGATTTTTAGTTCTCTTCATTGTGCAGTTAGCATACGGAAAGGAAAGGTTTATCAGGAAGGTAAGTTTGGGTTTGGGTTTGTTTAATATTACTTAACTTCTTATAAATAGATATCGGCATTTAAGGAGGATGGATGAGATGGTTTAATTCAATACTTCAGATCATCACCCTTAAATGACGATAGATGTTAAAGTAAAACACAACTGTTACGGAAAAAACCTGGTTTACACTACAGGAAACAACATAAATCATCAGTTGCAGGTAAGGATAATTATTTCCTGAATCATTTAAGGATAGCCTGAATTTCCAATTTTCTTCAAATTCAGACTTCATGTTGACTTCCTGCGAAGTATGGGTTATGCTGAACGTACTATAAATGTATACATAATCACATTTCAACACTCCCGGAAAGTACGTGAAAAGGTAATGGGTAACCTGCCCGTGTATTCCAGATTCTTCCAACAATAAGACCCCTCAAGGGCTTACATCCGAGCCAACAAAAGTGATTAGATACTTTGTTTCGAAATTATTGTAAAATAAAGTTTAGATTTATACATAAAGTATTGCGCCATAATTAGATTGCGCTAACTGCAGTAATGTATGTCGAAAATAAACAGATATTTTGAATACGCCTGTTAAGTATTACTCTAATTTATTAAAAAAAATGAAATTGTACACTAAAATCTGATAGCACCATATTAAGTCTGGTTATGCCTGTGGGAAATATATAACAACAGAACATTTCCATACAACATACGCGGTGTATGCTTACAAATAGAGAAAAACGTATAATACCAGTTTTCACGATATTACAACTAACTGTTTATGGAAAACCTTGACCTTGACAATTTGTTTTTGTTTGTCAAATTTGAAAAAGGAAATTCCAATTACTCAGAGAATGAAATTAAACAAAATCGCCATTAAATGAAACTTACCGATGGAACATTTGTTCGTTCTTAATCTTCCAGTTCTCACACTGATTGCCACAGTCTACCAATTTTTCTTTTACATTGGTAAGCTCCTGACTCAGTAATTCCTTTTCATTTTCGAGTTTCTTGTTTTCATTAAGAAGACTCTCGTAGCTATCCTTAAGATCCTTTTTTTCTTTTCTGAGACTCCTGATTTCATCCTTGAGACTCTTATTTTCATCCTCGAGATTCTCTTTGTCTGCCTGAAATAGAACACAATTACATCCGCATGGGCAATAATGACGAATATTTTAGTCGATAGTCACACCAGCAAAGCAAACTGATGATAGAAGTGACAGATCCCTCTAGTAATTTGATCCCTGTCGCCGCCATGACCAAGCAAACAGATCTTATACGTTTGAAAAATTTTAAATGTCCACATTCTGTTTTTGAGTTAAAAAAGGAGTTCTTTATCATTTCAATTATTTTCTACTGCAGGCTTCCACAAGCACCATGGTGGACACAACCGATAGGTACTGTGTATTGGAATTGATTTGAAGAATGGACAAACAATCTCTATGAGTCTGATATTCAAAAAATAAAATGGATAAGATTTTCCCAAACGTAATTTAGAGTATGCATTTACCCCTATTTACATGATTTGGTCTGTGCACTTGCCCGTAATTAAATGTACTTAATGAATTAAAATTCATTGGGTAGATGAGAAATCCAAGACTATTATGAAGTGTGGAGAAGCATTTCAACTTAAGAACAATAAAAAGTTACAAGAAGCAAAAAAATACAAAGAAAATAAGACCAGATGTTTCAGAAGGGTGGGCGTCTTCTGCAACTTCGAAGATACAGACACTATTAATTTTGGTTAATCTAAATTGTTACATTGTGATGTCGAAAAAGCTGCGATGTTCTACCCAAATGTTGTTTATATCCTATGATTAATTTATAGAAGCCATTTTTTTCTAAGGCAATGTTACGTTGATTTTTTTACAAATATCATCCAAATGAACAATTAAAAACAGATAAACACATGAAAAATATTTAGCAGCTTATATATGACACTGTACCACTACATATTAAGTAGAACTTCACACGTTGACTCAATCTGGGTTTTTTTTCACAGTTTAACCTTCCCAAGTTAAAAAACACTAGATTATGCATCAACCCTAACAGATTGGTTTTTCAATATATCAATTCATTTTACGTTTCTTTATCACCTTTAGATCTTCTAAATTCCGTTGTTTTCTTTTTCCGCCTTTCTTTTTCTTCAAACTCCCGGGTCCAACTTTTTTCTCATCAGCGTTGTCCTCCTCTAGCTATCAAATGAAAGCATGCATGAATACACATTGTACTAAAAAATGATGGGTCGTACAAAAAAATGATACTTAACACTTTGTTGGGAATAAAAAATAAAAAAGTAATGAAAAAATAATAATATTTTTAATTCTAACCTGTTCACAACAAACTGGCGATTAAAACATATCCAATTGATGAGAAGATTCACCTTAAGCTCCAGTAGAAACAAAATCCAAAATTCAAAAATAAGAAAACAGCGCACAAGACTGTATCTTCTGCAACAACTGACCTTAATCTCCTTATTTTCACAATTTTCAATCAATCAATCACATATGTTATATAGGTCATTGTTTATTTCAATGCCTCTGCAATGATTCGAATCCAGGCTTTCTAGAGAAAAGGTCTCTCTAGCCGAACGGCATGTTAAACATGTGTTTAGCATTGTAACAAATACTTGTATAACGAAAATATGTTGACCGAAGATTAGGATCTGATTTCGCCAAGTGAAACAGGGTTACATTCCTTCCGAACAGATATTGTAGCTATAATATCAGTCCATATAGAGAATCGAACTTTACAACCTCTTGTGGAGTCAGTTTATGAAACGGACCGTCTTATGCTGTAGTGATATATGCCTATGGCCAAGATCAAGGAAATCTCACATCGGTATAAAGCCTGGATTTTTCTGTCCTTGGTAAAGCGAACTGCACGCCCATGGTAAGAGAATTTTATTTCTGGTGTGGCATGTGACGGGCATGCCCTATAAAGGTCACAGTCCTAACCATCAGCGGTTACATTAAGGAGAATGATACTGGCCACTGGTATGTTGATGTACGCAGCAAACAGTGTAACACAAACGAGTTTATTTCTGTTAATAATTATTACAATGTCATATACCGTGAATAAATGATATGACACGTGTACGTCTTTCTATACTAAGTAGCAATTAGTAGCACCCTTTCTTTTGGTAGTACAGCCATTAATGAAACTCACCTGTTCTTCTGTTGTATCCATTGTATTTGAATCAAGATCACTACATGTTGTACCATTGTCTTGAGTCACATCCGTTTCATTCTTTCCAGCCATATTGCCCATAACTAGGCTCTTCCACAAAACCGTGAAGAACTTTCTTGGAATAAATACTACATGGAAATGATAATTTTACTTTCTCTTTCACTTTCATGAAATCTTCGGGGCCCGCAGATCTAGTACTTTCACTTTCCTGAAAGTCGTGTTGCAAAACATGTGACACAATAAAACGTTGTAATATGACATGTTGAGTAATATTTTATCAATATTTGTTTATTTACACGTCAAAAGCCTTGAATTGATAATCAGGTATATTCCCATAAAACTATTTTAGTGTACAACTCTATACTGTAGAATTATTGAGTCCGACAGGAACCAAGTTAAGATTTGATGAAGTAAGTAAATTTTAGATATTCTACACTTATGAGTACTTCAAAATCATATCAATGTGCAGTTATATTACAACAGCCGGGTACCTTGCTATTACAGCAGTCGGGTGTCTTGCAATTTGGTGCACTTTGAGAACGTGCTTTCGAAAACGTAAACTTAGTCGTGTAATATCCAATGAAATAGTGTCAGTGACAAAATGGGCCTTATTTTTTTTTTTTTTTTTATAAACGAGGACAATTCGAAGTGACATAAAGAAAATAGACTCTGTGACAAATGTCAGTTCTATACCGGATGGAACTATAAAACTAGGGTATGAATTACATAGGTTATAGTTACAGAGGGACGCGTACTTTATACTTCCGGTGTGTGATTACCTGCATGAGGCTCGGGTTTCTATCATAATAAACCCAAGGTACTGTTTTTTATCCGTTGACGTTTTAAATAATCAGAACACTTACTCACCAATGATTACCTCACTAAAAATTAGAAACCAAATGGCACAAATATCACAGTGACACTTATGAAATATATCAAAAAAGTCAAAACATTTTAGCTAGATTGGACGCTCAAGCCAAGAATACAAATCACCAGAGAATGTTCATTCAAAGTAAAACTATTACTGTGGACTCTCAGTATACTTTTGATCAGGTTAGCAGCAATACTAGATTATAATAACGTTAAACTGTTTTAAGTTACAAAAAAAAATAATAATAATAAAAAAATCCCCGAACCAGTTTTTAAACGACATCTGTAAATGTCGGGAGGTACTATACAGTATAACACAGAGGGGAAAGAAACTGCCTGCAGTATGTCTCTTTGTTGTGCTACATTTTTTGTACATAAGTACAGCGAAGAAATTCGGATTAATTAGTCTTGATGTGTTTGGGCCTGTAAGCAGTTTTTTTTCTCCAAAAGTACATCAAACTAATCATTTCAAATCAAATAATAGTATATAGAATTAAATTATTTTCAAATTGATTATGCCAACTTTTGTGACAAATAATTTCTGTTAACTTTTGATATTTATAATATAAAACGCATGTTTAAGCCATTTACAGCTGAAATACTACCCTATATTGTGTACCACTTCCTAAATGAAAAATAGAGAAATCATCTTTCAAAAAATAGCATTAAAAAGCAGAGAAATTTTCCATTTGACTCGCGTAATTTTTGTGATACATCAATGCTGTTTAATAGTTTTATTTTTGTTATAAATATTTAACTATTTCTAACTTGCTAACAAAATGGCTCTGGTCAGGCCAGTCGGTTGCAAGTCCACAATAAGTGAATGGAGCATGGACGGATAAGATTAGACAGCAACAGCGAGAAGTTGGGACATTGATGACTTCATGGCTAAGAGAACAAACACAAAACCTTATCCATTTACAGTAAATGTCCCTGATTAATGAAATAAGGTGAAAAAAGTAATATGTTTTGATCTGGATGTGTAGACTAATTTTGTGTAGAACATTTTTCATTCATATAATCGTATTTCTGTATCTACAGGAGAGAGATTATGTCAGTTTGGAATCAGCAACTCCACTTGTCTGTGAGGGAGGGAGACTCTGTAAGTGTGGACAGACTAGTGGGGGCAGGAGCTGATATAAATCATATGTTCTATGGATGGACTCCTGTACAGCTGGCCATCAACTTGTGTGAGTTATGTCTCCATGATTCAATTCATACAACAATGCCTGACAGCTTTTAAACTAATGATTCCTATTGTTCATATATCCATGAACAGAAGCAGTTGATCAAAATGGGATATTTTTTGGTAGAAATACAGCATGCATAAATTACTTAAATGTATTTTTTATTTAAACATAAATTCAATATATGGTATATTTATAACTGGATCTGTGGAAGATTTCTATAGGCTTTGCTAATCTGTTTACACTTATACAATTAAAGTTGTTAAGCTGATTCAATAAAGCTCATTCCAAAGTGATTAACTTGTTTTTTGGTATCCTGGCTACTTCTATAGTTGCAGTTTCATGTACATTCATTTGATATAAGTTACTTAATAATTTTTGGGGGAGAATTTACTGTTAACATTTCATAGTAAAAGAATTTGTGCCGCCTACATCTAGCACATGGTTAAATTAGCATTGAGGAAGACCAAACACATCATAATTGTGATATTTCTTCTACTATACTCAAGGTAGTTCATTATCTGTAGGTATATATATTAATGTTCACTGCTTAATTTACCATTCATATTTGTTTGATATATTTTACTAACCAATATTTGTAAATTTTTGTATGATTTGTGTCACCTAAAGGCCAGGAAGATATTGCTGTTCTGCTTGTTAACAGAGGATGTGATATCAAAGTTCGTGACAGGAATAATGTTTCACTGTTAGAGGACGCTGTAAACAAACAATTATGTAAGGTAAGACAACAATGTTTCACTGTTAGAGGACGCTGTAAACAAACAATTATGTAAGGTAAGACAACAATGTTTCACTGTTAGAGGACGCTGTAAACAAACATATATGTAAGGTAAGACAACAATATGTCACTGTTAGAGGACGCTGTAAACAAACAGTTATGTAAGGTAAGACAACAATGTATCACTGTTAGAGGACGCTGTAAACAAACAGTTATGTAAGGTAAGACAACAATGTTTCACTGTTAGAGGACGCTGTAAACAAACATATATGTAAGGTAAGACAACAATATGTCATTGTTTGAGGACGCTGTAAACAAACATTTATGTAAGGTAAGACAACCATGTATCACTGTTAGAGGACGCTCTAAACAAACATTTAAGTAAGGTAAGACAACAATGTTCCACTGTTTGAGGACGCTGTAAAGAAAATGTCTTTGTATTGTCTGTTGTCTTAATCTACTTGATAATAATAAGTTAATAACCACAAATTTTTCAACTTCTAACAAATGTTACAATTTTTTTTTGCACCAAACTTTTCCAGTGCTTTAGTCTGGTAACTCTGAATTCAGGACCTGGCAAAACTTCAATAAGTACATAAAGTTAGGCTGTTTAGGGATGTTACATTAACAATGTCTTATACTGCTCAAAACTGAATGTAATTTCTTTTGTTGACAGGTTGTGACAGCGTTACTAGAGAAAGGTGCAGACCCTGACCAACTTTTGACCAATGCTCAAACTGCTTTGTGCCGGGCAGCTGTATGGGATAATCAGCAGCTGACAAAAGCGTTGATTTCAGGTATGTAGAGTGGAACACATACGGCAGACAATATCACTTACAAATTACAGCTTGGCAGGGTGGCTAAACATTTTGTATAGGTAGGCAGAGTGGCTTATGAATCAAAGGTAGGTAGAATCACTTACTAGTTAATGTAGGAAGTCACTTACTAGTTACAGGTAGATAGAGTGGCTTGTAATATACAGTTAGACAGACACAGAGTGATGAAATTTCAGTAACCATTTGTCACTCCAATCTGACAGATGATCCAAGTCATGTTGAAGTTTTCTTGTAATCTTACTTCCTTGTTTACATTTGAATACTTTGTTGTCATCCACAAAAAGGTCATTTTTAGACTGTATAGTACCGGGTAGGTAATTCATGTATATGACGAACAATGTTGGTCCTAATAACAATCCCATGGGAACTTCCGGTAATACATCACTCCAATCAGAATGTTTATCCTTTAATCTGACTCTTTGTTTCCTGTTAAAAAAAATCCCTGGTTGTCCATTTGACAAGATTCTCATTGATTCCATATGATGACGTTTTATTTGAAGTCTTTTGTGTGGAACTGTATTGAACCCTTTTTTAAAAATTCATGTGCAGAATGTATATACAGTTGATCAAGTTACTATTGTTCATTTGTACAGTCCATTCATATAAGTCGTTCAAAACAGGAAGGCAGTGTGGTTAATGATATTATCTACTGTCCTAGGTAAGGCTTCTGTGAACTCTCGATGTGATAACGGAGAGGTGCCCTTGTTCATAGCAGCCAGAGAGGGACATGCACGTGTAGCTCAAATTCTACTGGAGGCAGGGGCTGATTGTAATATAGTATGTAAGGAGGCAGGTCTACAGACACCACTTATTGTAGCTGCTGCACATGATAATACTGATGTCATCAGAGTCCTGCTGAAGGTAAGTCAAATAAATCCTACGGGTTACTGTCATACCCAGGATCATCATCATCATCATCATCATCATCATCATCGTCATCATCATCATCATCGTCATCATCATCATCGTCATCATCGTCAATTTCATCATTATCATCATCATCATCATCATCATCATCATCATCATCATCATCATCATCATCATCATCATCGATTTCATCATCATCATCATCATCAGCATCATCATCATCATTCACCACAACCACCATCAAGACTACCACAATAAAAATATATATTTCACATCAATCTTTTATACATCAAACCGTCTATAGACTCTCTACAGCTAGGTTTGTTTACATAACTGTATCAATTTCTGTTATTATGGTTGTCACTTTCTGATGTTATGATGGCCTGGATATTGTCTTCTCTTTCTAAATAGCATTTTATGGTAAAAACCTCTTTATTTGTATCTGTTATTTACATACAACATAGTATCAATGACTTGGCATTCTCTGATACATGTACAGCTTCTTTCTTTTCCTCTGTTTTTATATTCTATTAGAATTTTAACTAGGTAAGCTCAGGCGGCAACAACATCCAGATAATATATATTTTTATTTGTTTTTCCAGTTTAACTGTGATGTAAATGTGCAGGACAGCGATGGATGGACAGCACTATGGCATGCATATAGCAACAGTAGTGCTGACATCATGAGGCTTCTGCTGAAATCAGGGGCAGATAAGAATCTCACCAACGCAGATGGACACACGATCTTAGATGAAGCTAAATCATCAGAAGATGAAGATATGGTTGAAATCTTACAGAAATTTGGACAATCTTGGACTTAATGAAGATAGACCAAAGTTCTGTCAAATGTATGTGACTGTACCAATAGTGTTAAATCTGCTATAATTTAAGTAATTTGTTCAATATTAGCAGTAAAGTAACGTGTTCTTGTACTTTATTTTCCATAACTTGTTCATCAAGTATATATAGGAAGACCAGACTGTTTGTGTTTCAATTTAAGTATTAATATTCATATGGTGCCATAATGCAGCATTCAAATAGCGGTATTTTCTTAGTATGTCTACCGTTTTGTATACCAACTGCTGTCTCCTTGTCAGACATACTGCAGTTAGCCCAGTTACCAGTACATTTCCTTGGATTAACAGTAAGAGGCTAGGATTGTTACTGTGCAATATGATACTGCATTACTTGGCATTTCTACTGAAACTGTAATACATATTGGTAGGCCTATTTGCCAAGCATTGCATTATATATGATATGATTGTTGGCGATTCCCCGCAGATACCCACCAATTCCAACACATGCGGCAAAGCATTGGAATACAGGGTACTGAGTATAGGAGTCAGTTAAATCCAATACACCAAATAGAAAAAAAAGGGAAAAAAATTATTCATCCTGTAAAGCATTCCAACCAGTATTTTTTATTTTGAAATGTTTTCATTTTTTTTCTCATTTCGTAGAACATTTTAAGTGTGTTGAAGTATATATTTTGTTCAATTTGTAGTCTGTTAAAAGGTTTGAAAATTTGCAAGATGTATAATTATTTCACATTTTATACTTGCAAAACGTGCAAAATAAAGGGACGCAAGTTTGCATCTATTTACAATTGAAAATCAGATATGTTTGAAGACCTGACCCCTTGGACTGTGCCAAACATTTGTTTACCACAGATCTTTTCTTTTTCAATGTGTTCTTCTGTTGTGAAAGAAATACTGCCAAATATTCAGAATCTTTGTCATGACCCACTGAATCAAACTGTCATGTTGAATCTTAAAGACTCTCCATCCTTATTGTTACATGGTTGTGTTGATGTATTTTCATATCATTGTTTCCAAATGATAATTTCATAAAATAATCTCCATGTTATTGTATACTCTGTGGTTGCCTGTGTGAAGGTGGATTCTCCTAAAAATCATATTCATGGTGTCATTCTTATAACTGTGAAGTCAGATTATGACTATATAATGTCATAGCTTAAGACTGTCAGATGATGTCAACTTATGACTATATAATGTCATGGTTTAAGACTGTCAGATGAAGTCAAGTTATAACTATATAATGTCATAGTTTAAGACTGTCAGATGATGTCAAGTTGTGACTATATAATGTCATGGTTTAAGACTGTCAGATGATGTCAAGTTATGACTATAGAATGTCATAGTTTAAGACTGTCAGATGATGTCAAGTTGTGACTATAGAATGTCATGGTTTAAGACTGTCAGATGATGTCAAGTTGTGACTATAGAATGTCATGGTTTAAGACTGTCAGATGATGTCAAGTTGTGACTATAGAATGTCATAGTTTAAGAATCTCACATATTGTTGGGTTATGGTAGTGTGTAAGATTATGAAGTTCCAGGTGGAACATGTAACTGATTTTGTAACACATTCTGTTTATTTTAAATAAAACAAATTTTGACATGTTTATGTCCATCTATATATCATTTATGATACAAAGAGGGAGAGAAACTCCTGAAGCCAGACTTTGAAGCAGTGTTTTCTGTATCTGACAATGAGCTGGTTGCCCACATGGTAGGGAACAGCTGACGTGTAGTCAGGAATGAAACTTAGTAGATGACCTACCATGTACACAGGAAGTAATATACCCCCTCCAACAAACTTAGTGGAGGGGTTGGGTGGGGAGCACACTGGAAATCAGCCTGTCTGTCAGTCAATCCATTCATAGACAAATTTTGAACTAAGTGATGATGTCTGTACTTACTAGATCACTTTACAAAAGTATTTGTGTAATGGCCCATATCTCAACAGTCCTTGGATCAGTTTAAATGGAGGTTTCCGATGGGTCAAATTTAATTATTGTCCAATGAGAATTGCTGTACTTGTAAGGGTTTTGAAGAATGATAATTACAATCATTATGGTACTATTTTCCAAAACAGCTGATGTCATAAGGTTGTCCAGATTTCTCCTAAACTTGTAAACAAATTTCAATGAAAACTTCACAAAAATATTATGAGCCCTATATATAAGTTTCTTATTTCTTTTTTTTTTTTTTTTTTTTGAGAAGGAGAAATTACGGTTTCCTTGGAGACCAAGTCGCTATACATATGCCTTTGTGTAATGGCACTCAGCTTCAATAATGTATGTTTGGAAATGGGACACCATAGGGGATTGGTAAATATCTAGGGAGATTCAAGGTCATAGATGGAATGTTAGGTCACTGAGACTGAAATGAAATAATCGAGATATAAATTCTTAATTCTTGGCACCTGTAGGGGGATGGCTGTGGCCACGTCTCCATATACGAAGTAAGATGCTTTAAAGTGGTAAACCTTACAAAGTGTCAGGGGCCTACATGTATAAACAATTTATAAGGCAACATTTTGTTATATATATTGTATCTATAACTTTATAATATTTATGTCACCCATTAAATAATTTCAAATGAATTTTGAGTGAATCATACCAATACCAACGGTAAGAAAGCTGAATTACACCATCAATGTAACATCACAGTGTGATGAATTGTCTCCCTTTTGAGTAACTATTGGAAATATTAGGAGGATGGCAGTCTCTCACCATTCTGACTCTTAGAGCTACTGTTCTTTGTGTCACTCTGTCAGACGATATGGTGATAATCTTGACCAACAGTTTCTCTCACAAGATCACTTCTCAGCATGCACATTGGAGATAAAAATATCTTTCAGAAACTGATGGTTGTCAATGTGCCTTAAATACACTTCACAGTGTTTAACAGGATAATAAGATAACAATAATCAAATATTTTGATTCATTTCATATTTTATTCTCATTCTGGATACTGATAACAATCAATATGATCTCAAGTGTATAATTTTTCAAAATTGACTTACAACAGCATCAAGACAGATTGTCCGTAACCACTGGCAACTTAAGCAAGAGTTCTTCCATAATGAATATTCATAAGCTTTGGAAATATCACATACATGATTAATGAACACTTTCGAAGAAAAGTAAACCTGAATAATCCAAATTTACTTTGACTATTTATCGACAGTATATAAAAAAAATACCTGTGTCAACTTATGTGAAATCATATCGTGATGCTATATTCATTGCACTTTCATTTAAAATAGATGATTGGAACAATAACAACAATATTTCATTATCAGTATTTAGTGAATATGTTAAAAGGTGGAAATGCTTAACATAAAAATATTGCTTAAACATTTAGAAAGTAATCATTGTAAAAATTATGGAAAAAAATGGGGGGAGGGGGTAATCTGTAAATCACTAAAGTTGTGTCTCTGTGATGAACTTTACAAAATTTACAAAATCATCTTTTTTTTTCTTGTGATGAGTCTTTCGGTTAAAAAGAGTTAAGTTGACAATTTACACTACTGCAAATTGTTAGCTTTTTTACACTTTAAATCTAACAGATAGCAGGAAGGGTTCAATACTCTGTAGGGAGTTTGATAAACACAGCAAAAAAATAATTTTTAAACTTTAATATGTGGATAGAGTTCCATCACTCAACAAAAAAAAAAGTGCAGAAACAAACAGTAGTGATTTTCAGGTCAACAGTAATGGCACAGAGAATTAAACCAAGGCACATACTTAACAAGATATTATTAAAAATGTATGGTATCTGTGCCGAGATACACAAACACATTATGACAGGAAATACATGTGTTCTAATCAGAATTATTACACATCAGATGTATCAATGCAATTGGATTAAAATTGTTTATTAAAGCTGCACTTTCAATCAAAAGTGCACTGTGATGTCATTTTCTTGACTTAATATTAAAGTTATTTGCAGCAAAATTTTACACAATTTCAGTACAAAACTTCCTGAAATAATTTCATGCATATATCTTTTTCAAATTAAGTTACAAAAGAGACCAGCAAAAGGTCACCGACACAATAAACAAGTTCAATGCTGGTCGTCATGATTTTCTTAAAAATGCTCTGCAAAAAAAGGAAATTTTTAATATTTTTAAAAGGAAAGAAATAATGTTACTACAGTGTAATATCACGATCACCAATAAATTTTAAGTTTAAAGTACAGGACTATCCTTGAAGGATCATATGTCTACAGCCCTTGTGTGTCCTACTCTAACACATGTAACTTGTACAAACAAATAAGTCCAAAAACATATGTTTTATTAAATCTGAACAGATTTGATATATGACTAGAAGTTAGTGACATTAAAACTAAATATTGTACAATGTTTACTTTATTTTGTATTAATGTCACAGAATTTGATTTTGTGGTCATAATCTATTGCTTTGTATCCATCAGACATACCTATTTAAAGCACACCATCAAAAACTACATTTTTTATGTGCTTGGTGCTTTAATTAATTCTTTTAAAGATAATACTCATTGTACTAAGTAATTATATTTAAAAACACTAGATAATCTGATGGATGAGGTTAAGTAAATTAGAAACAAAACTATTTTTAGTACAGGTTTTGATTCATTGTGATATTTTAAAGACAAATACAAATTGTAAGAAGCTGAATGACATAAACACTTCAACCAGATATTGGTGACCAACTGCTCTACAAAATCGATATTTCACCGGTAACATTATGCTTTTTAACAACGTTTTTGCTGGCCATCTGTGAAAATATGTTTTCATTTACAGGTTATGTAGTGTACAAGTTACCAGCCTAAGGGAACTTTATTATATGTAAAGTCATATATTTGTGGTACTCAAATTAAAAGTTAAAAAAAAAAAAAAAAAAAAAAAAAAACTTCCAGGGAACGCTTAAAACTATATGAATTTTCATGTGTATCATTTTTCATAGACATATGACTTTGTGGATTCAGAATACTTGCAAAATCTTTCAAAGTATTTCTGAACCAGTCAGGTT